GGGGGCAAAACACATGCCTTGCCCCTCCCATCTGAGAACTGGGGGGGGGGGGGGAAGGGAGGGGGCAAGCGCCCCCCTGCCCCCCCCCCCCCCCTTCCCGGTTGGTACGCCCATGTCCGTGGCCGCCCTTCCGTCTCAGTTTCAATGAGAAGAGACCTCAAAGGGACCGCCAGCGTGGACAGCTTTGCTGGGGTTGAAAGGCAACGCTTACATTTTGTTGCTCTAGCAATTTTCTACGAGCCCACAAACACCAGCTCGTCTAGAGAACTTTGTGTCATGCCTGTTTCCTCGGTGGAGAAGGAAAGAAAAAAACGGGGGTGGGAAGGGGGGCCGGGGGGGGGGGGGGGGGGCGGTTAGGCGATGGCACGACGTCAGAAAGGCCTAGAGTCTGAGCTGTTCTGAACTGAACATAACTAGTATTTTTTTTTTTTTTCAAATTTCCGGGGGCCAGCACGGGGCCCCCTGGGGCACTGGGGGAGAGGGAGGCCTTGAGCCAAATGCACGAGGGCTCAGCATATTGCCCAGCACCCCCTGACGATGTCAGCGAGTGCTCAAGCCTCTCCCTCTCCTCTCCCCCCCCCCCCCCCCCCCCCCCCCCCCCCGGTTCCGGGGTCCCTGGTGGAGGCCCCGACTTCTACCGCTGCTTGAAGTTTTATTATCTGGAGTTGCATTGAATTGAAGGGGGCAGGACGCTGTCAGGCTTCCCGTCTTTCTCTCTGCCCCCTCCGCAATTGTTATCCAAGAATAAGAATAATAATAAAAAAAACTAAAAAAAAAAACGCCAAGGCTTCTTTCGTCTGCTCTTAGGGCTGAGGGACTGGGCCACAGCCTCCTTAGCCCCCCCCCCCTTAATCCAGCGCTGGGCTCAAGATAGGTGTTAGGTCAGGCAAGAGCATCCTTGCCTGACCAAGAGTTGGACTTCTGTGCGACTTGCAAGATTTCTGATAATTATATTTTTGCTGAAATCTTGGTGTAACAGGGCTTGACTGCATCTTGAACGTTTTGTACCACTCGCATATGCACCAAAAAAAAAGGAGTGTTGAACTGAAGGCCATATCCAGATCGAGTTTGTATGCTTATGATGCTTGTGTTCGATGACATATCTTCCTTTGATGGAACACAAGCACTGCAGACGTTTGTAGCCTGAACTGTGCATGAGCTGTGCGAACAGCAACGCCACGGCAGCGTCGTGATGTCGAAGTCGCGTGTTTTGCCGCGGCCAACGATTTTCACACAAAACATTTTTTTATATAAAAAAAAAAAAAAAAAAGAGGGGACACCTGGAAGTTGTTAGCGAGCTTTAGCGAGTCGTTTTTCGAGCATACGGTTCCGAAATCACGAACGGTGCAGCTGGTCCGTTCCGTGAAACCGTACGCGAAATTTGACATATTTTAGCGAATCGTGAGACTGGCGCAACCATGTAAACGATGATGATGATAGTGTTTAACGGTGGCGCCATCTTCTAGTAAACATGTGAAACATTCTGCAACCTGTAAATCTGTGGCGGCTCGTGTTTCCGGCGTGCGCCTGATGTAAACAAGACGGCCGACGTAACATTTGGCGGTCGGAATTTCAAGAACTGCGAAGCTAGATAAAGTAAAATGTATCTGAACGAGCGTAAAGGTATGTGGTGTGTCTCCGTCATCTTGAACTTGAATGATCGTTCACGTTGTGTGCCATCGAACCAAATCATTTCGTCTGCTCGCGGTAGCCACGGCAGTAGTCTGCTCGCAGATCGCAAATATTTACTAATATGCGCAGTTTACAGCATTTACGATCGCTTACCATTGGGAGCAGTCCTAGAAATGATTTGGTCCAGACTCTCAAATGAAGCAGAGTAACAGGATGGAAAATCGCCTCCTGCTGTCCTAAGCTGTTCACACTCTTGCAACCGAGTACGACCGAGAGAGACAAGACCGGTTTTTAATCGTCTTGCGACTTCTTAAGACCAGCTCCGCTGCAGCGCGCCCGGTCCTAAGAAGTCGCAAGAGGATTAAAAGCCGGTCTGGTCTCTCAGTCTTACTCGGTCGCAAGAGTATGAACGGCGCTTCACGCTCGACTAGGTCGGCGAAGTCAGTCGCCAAACCGACCGCCATCTTCTTTTTCACACGAGTCGTGAACGGTGCTGGCGACGACTCCAGCGGCCGGAACGGGAGCAACGAACGAGAAGAGCCTCCCGACGCCCCGAACGACTAGCGCGCGCATGTGCAGTGGCGTCGCCGATGCGTTCGAGGGCGAACCGTTCGCATGGAAACGACCTGTTAAAACTGTACTCCACCGATTTTTCGAGCTACCTCAACTAACTATATTTTCTCAATCCCCGGCAGGGGTTCACTCCTTGGGCTGTAGATTTTGTTTTGAACTGATTCGAAGCAGTTTCATGGTGTCAAATGAATGCTTGGGAAGCTCGCTACAGTACCCGCGCTAAAGCACGGAACAAATGATTGGCATATTCTATTTTTTGGCTGCTTGCTCGACTGGCAAGCCTGCCTGCCACTGACGTCACGGCACTGAAAAGTGCGCGTACATTTGAATGTTGGTTTTCGCACCATTTTCATTTGCCGATTTCACAATAACTATTATGAATTTCGCGATTCTAAATAGCATACCGGAGAGAACTCTCCGGTATGCTATTTAGAATCGCGAAATTCATAATAGGTATTGTGAAATCGGCAAATGACTCTCCGGTATGCTATTTAGAATCGCGAAATTCATAATAGGTATTGTGAAATCGGCAAATGAAAATGGTGCAAAAACCAACATTCAAATGTACGCGCACTTTTCAGTGCCGTGACGTCAGTGGCAGGCAGGCTTGCCAGTCGAGCTTTGAGCTTATTTCTTTAAAGGGGCACTGACACCCCAGAGGTCGTATTTATTTTTATTGTCTAAAACGATGCAAGTTGCAGTCATAAACACGCAAAAAAAAACCGCATCGCGAAAAAAAATTTTCCCGCGCGCGCGCGCGCCTTTTTATTTTTGGCGTTTGATTTTCCCGCCTCTCGCCTCCTCGCTTCTTTTGATCGGTGACGTCAAAAATCAGGAAATTTAGAAGCTTTCTAGGCGACATCTCTACAACATTTAATAACGGCAATCGTAAAACATGTTTTTTAACGCAATTGCGAACGCACTACGGCCCTTCTTTTTGAAATACCAAAAATCGGGAGTTCGTTGTGGTGCCGTCTCCTGGATTTGTATCCTCCAACGGAAAACAGGCGACACCGCTCAAAACCGGTCCGCCGTAACGCCGCCGCTCACTCCTTTCCTCCTCGCTTTGGGTCGCCATGGCAACAGCAGGGAGTGGTGAAAGAAAGTTGACTCTCAGGTCTCCGCGATTTTTGACGTCAAGGCACCGGCGCCGATCGCGCGGGAACTTCGAATTCGGCATTTGGAAATTGTTTATTTACTTCACAAATACTGAATTCCCAAATTTCAAATTTTGAGGGTAATGTCCCGGCATCGTTTTCAATCGTTTCGGATAATAAAAAAAAAATATGATTTTGATGTGTCAGTGCCCTTTTAATTTTGCGTCATCGTGCTGCGTTATGCTGGGACGGAGTGAAAAGACAGTGTTTTTCTTTTCTACGTTCAAAAATATGCGCCGCCCGAACAGGGACTCGAACCCTGGACCGTTAGGTTAAAAGCCTAACGCTCTACCGACTGAGCTATCCGGGCGCTTGCAAGAAATCATCTGCAGAGCCATATTATTGGGAGAGTTTGGCCAGTGGGTGTGGCGACGCAGGCGCTGGAGAGGAGAAAAGTAAATAGGGAGTTTTCGTAGACCGCGTTTCCCCCTCCGCTAAGCTCTCCGCAACGAAGCAGCCGCTACTGCGCCGGCGCGCCGATGGCCTTGACTGTAGAGTTCCGGCTAGCGTAGCTGCTTGCGGAGGGCGTTGCGGGACAGCGGAAACGATCTACGAAAACTCCCTATTGAAAGGGAGGAGAACGCCGAAGGAGCGAGAAAGAAGGAGCAGAGAAGAGACGACCGCCATTTTTTCGCAACGCTGTCGGAGAAGACCACTGCCGAGGCTACGCGTCTTCTGCTACGGGCCGACTTCTTTTTCGCCTGAATAAAAGTTTGAGGCCATACGCCGAAAAATCTTCATTTATTAGCTTTTTAACCCACCGAGGAATAACAGTATGTCATTTTCTTGCCAGAGCCAACCCTATAAAAGGAAATAATCGAGATTTTGATGCCGATGCCACGCATTCCGCCGGGAGAATGAACGAAAATGGCGGCCCTCCCCACTCAGCTGGGAGCAGCCGGGAGTTCACGCGCATGCTCTCATGCCTATCGCTCTGCGCCGCGTGCTGATTAGCTCACTCGGGAGAGCGTTACGGCGGCGAGATCATAGACTGACCAAGCTCTCTCCATATACGGCTCTGATCATCTGTTGATCTTTTCAGTTTTTACTTTTTGTTTACGTTTTTTAAATACAGGAGTTGTCATCCGCTTTGCAGCGTGCAATGTTTGTTTGCTTGCTTATAGTTTAATTCAATACATTTTCAGCCTTCGAAGTATCTCTATGCGGAGAGGAACTAGTCCGAGGATTTGCGAGGACGTCAGAACGACACGGAGCTTCCATTGGCTTAGATTGAAAGGACAGTGGGTAGAGTTCAATGCTAGATGCCTTGAGGTCTACCCACTGTTTCAAACAGCCAATAGGAGCTCGGTGTTCTAACATCATCGCGACCTCTGTGCAAGCAGCAGACGACCTGCACTCCGTATTTCATAGTTGTTTGGTGTCGCACTGCACACGTAATGCCAAGACATAGTCGAAACCATATATTTGATACAATTTTATATATTAGTAAATTTGGCGACTTTGCCTACTCTCCAAAGCATACTTCATTTCGTAACAATGGAAACTTCGTTAAACTTTGTGCATTGCTTTTCGCCAAGGGAAACCATCCTGAGGTGTAAAGTTAAATTCAGCAAAAAGCTGAACAAGACGAAATATTGAAATGGTAAAACGGGGCAGATGAACACAAACTCCCTATCGCTTGGATCAGACCCTCTTTATTCAGCCGTCGAAACAGCGACTACAACAGACCCTGTCCGAGAGTCGAGGGAAGAATTGGGCATGGGGGTTCCAGGGCCCTCCAAATCTCACCATTCAAACAAACATTCCATCGTCCGCCAACAGGCAGTACCATCCACTAGAGGGCACTACTAGGTGACCCCTGAGACGATGCCAAAGACCTGCCCATTCAGCAGGAAGGAGGATCAGCTACCAACTAGGTGCTTGCCAAAATAGGTTTCGTGGTCGCCGCTCTCTGTCTGAATACAAACCACCTTTAAAATACGAAGAAAAAAAAAGCCGGCTCAAAATATAATTTTGTAATTGAATGCAGAAATTTTCTAAAGTTACTTGAATTGCGAGGTATACAGCTAAACATTCTCGTCGCCTAGGAGACAGCCTCACTCGCTCAGAACTGCAAGGCAAAACGTGCAGCGGAGAGAGTTGCGCGTTGGTAATTGACCGCCTTCTTCCATTCCCTCATCAAACGACTCCTAGATCACACATGAAAAGCTCGTCGTCATGTTGTTCTTGTAGGCCTAACTAAGCTCTTTCCCTTACCCCTCCAGAAAAAAAAAATGAACAGTCTGTAATACTGAAAGTTGTGCATTTACCCCAGAAACCAACAGCGCCCTGCAACGCCATCTTCCTGTTACAAAAGCGACCATTTACACCGGATGCAGCCAGAGCAGTTCGTTAACAAACGTTCTCGACGAGAAGGCATATCGTTCGGGGCTCTCAAATGTGCACATTTCGAACTAGCTTTCGATTGGTCTTGTTTTGTGCGCGGCATCATGTGCAAACGCATCGACACTTCTGCACTCCAGAAACAACTTTTTTCAGCAGCCCGTCTGCTAAAGCACATACATACACGTCTTGTTATGTACAGAAACCGGGTTATACGAATACACTAGGTACATGACTTTACAGTGGTATGTACACTCCCTCCGCACACTCCGCATGCGCGCGCCGCCCTCGAAAGACGTTGCAACGTAAAGCTTTCGATGAAACGTAGGTTGCGAAGCGTTAAGAGTTTTGAAGAATGCATATTACAGTCATTGCATCGCCTGCCTAAGCAGCCTGTATGGGGGCTGCTGCTAGTTACGATATGTACACAGGGGAAAGAGCAGCGCAAACCAGTCAAACAATCTGCAAGGTTGACGACCGAGTAGTTCTACTTAAATCAAACATATAGACGGCATACAAACGAAGAGCCTTCAAAAAGTTGCTCTCCCAGTTCATGTGCAAAAAAAATGCAGTTCTCAAAAGATGCCTCTCCCCTGAAAAACATACCTCCGGGACAATTCCAAGTTTCCCTTTTCCCCGATAAGTAAGCTTTCATAACGCCACGCACCAAGCAGTACATTTTTTCCAATTTTTAAGGGGTGGCAAGTTATATTTAGGCCGTAGACTTTCCGGTTTAACCAAGAAAACACAGATAAAATATCTGTTGGTGCCAAAAATGCAATAGGGACCAACGAATAATAGAACAGTTGGTGCCAAAAATACAAAATCTATCAAGACAGAAAAAACAACTGGCAAAATACAAATTCTGGTCAACCAAACACAGATTTCTGAAAATATTTTTCCAGCTAGGACTGTTTTTGCTGAAATTTGATTTGTACTTAATTTTTCACGAGATTTTGTTACCAATAATGATCAATAAAAATGACCAAAATACTCCATTATTTCAAAATATTAAAAAAACATTCAGCCATTATCTTTATAAACAAACATAAAAAAATCTACGGCCAGTTATATTTCCAGGTTTCTGGGACAATGAGTGATTGCAGATGAGAAAAGAATTGAAAAAATTTAACTCTGCCGCGAAAGCTTTCAACAGCCAACACGTCCTATGACGACGGGGTCTCGACACTCTAGAACCGACCGGCTAAACCTAAAAACGGGTGGCGGCGCAAGGCACCGCTTAGATGTTGGAACACTCAAGGCTCAGCTTGAGCTAGAACACCGCCCAAAATGGGCATTGCAGCTGAAAGTTTGAGACAGCATTGAGCAGTCAGCAGTCTAGTCTTGTCATGCTACGCGTCTTTCAACGTACACCCCAGCCAAAACGGAAGCGAGGTTTGGATGATCAGCAAGCGCCACGATGAGACGTGTCCAGAAGCGTATACACTTGACAGACTATGCTTGGCAACATGTTGTACTCTTATACAAACAAAACTCTAAAAAAAAAAAAATCCTGCAAAGCAGAATTAATTTTTACTTTCATTTTTATTCCAGATGCAGCAAAGCATCCAATTAAATTTCAGAATTTATGGCCCAAGCATGCAAAGACAACTGAAAGTAACTGAGATCACCAACAAAATAAGAAATTAATTTGTAGCGACAATAACTAGAAACAAACAAAACAAAAAAATAATATAAACATGTGCAAAACAAAAATCGATTCAACATCTATACTTTTTATTTCAGTCAACTGCATTTCTATTCGTTCGGTCTGCCAACAAACGCAGACAACGTAGTAGATAGAAGACTTCACTGCACCGTAGAACCGCAAAAAAAAAAAAAAAAAAAGTCCCATCAAGATTTGCCTAAACAAATATTCACATGCAACAAATCAGAAGGCAATTTCCTGCCCCCAGCCCCCCTTTTCCCTCGCATAAAAACAAAAATAAACCGACTGCATATACAGTATGTACACTGTCATTCCCAGTCCTATGTACAGAACAAACACTACACGAAAGACCGACACTACTCTAACAAAATAAAACAGAGCGAGAATAAAAAAAAAAACAAGCCTTCAACTTGCAAGTTCGTCTTCATGCTTTGGCATGTGCAATGAAATATCCTCTCATCTGTACATCCCTTTCCATAAACCGCATGTGAACTGGCTTTGACATGACACCCCACCTTCTTGCTCCTACGAAAACAAACAAAGACAAAACAAAGACATCTCGACAAAACGACGACACTGCAGTTTGTTCGGCTCCGACAAGTTCAGAGAGGAAGAGAACCGCATTCTCCTGGCGACAATCCATCTCGTTGCATAGTAATGTCCACCCTACCTATCGAGTCTAGTGCCATGCCATCGAGCGAAGGAAACACATTAAAACGAAAACTATTTTAAGTAGAGAATTAATACTGCTATCTGGACAGCACTAGTCGTTAAATACTCGCGTCCCCAAGCCCACTAAAACGGAGTTTGTTTTTCTGCCAAGCTTTTTCTGCGGCATTGCAGAGTATCGGTATCCGGTGTTTGAGCGGATCTCCGCCTGTGACCGTGCTGTGACCGCCACTATACTTTACGAGCGCTGAGGGAAACTCCTTACGAACATGTAGCCCGCAATGAATGCATCTAAAAAGAGTCCGGCTTCTGGTATAATGCAACAGGAAACAACTTTTGTTTTTTCTAATATGAGAACTAGAAAAATGCAACTAGAGCTGCCATAACACAAAGTAACCGACAAACGGCGTGCGGTACTCAGGAAACCAAACAAACAATTCAACAGTGGAAAAAAGCTATTTGTCGTTGGGCACGGCACAAGTTTTAAAGGGGGCATCTCGTTGGGGACGACCGCAGCCTAGAATACGGAGAACAAAGAGAACCCTCCGCGACGACGGTGGTACCCAAATCGCACCGTCGATCGAATCACTTTCCCAAAGTTCAATTCCTTAGTTTCCTTCGTAAAAAAACATAAATACACCGGAAACAACCATACAAGTAAAACACATGGTCAAAAAAAAAAACAAAAAAAAAAAAGGACAACAAAGACTATTAAAAATATTTCGGGCTAAAAGAAACGGCTTTACGCTACCGAATCGAGCGAAACTACTGGCACTCCGGACAATGGGCTCCAAAAAGAGCACTGCACAGGTGCGTTTGGCGCGGAAAAAAAAAAAAAAAAAACAAGAAAAACACAACACATTAGGGAATGCCGGTAAAAGGCGCCAGGAGCTGGACAGACGTTAGACATGCGCACGCGCACGAAAATAATACGGGTGGCCCATACGACACACCACTTCTTGGCTCAAGACGAGGGGCACACCTGCCACAGGGGGTCCGGATGCCAACAGAAGACAATCCAAACGACCGTTGCCCAAGTAGACTAAACCGGGTGCGACAAATTGCCGGCTGACGAAACTCCCGGTCGGCGAAGGGGCACGCCAACGAAAGTCTCCGCCAGCGAAGCACTGTGCTGACGAAGCTCTCGGTTGACCAAGCAGTGTGCCAACCAAAGTCCACACCGGCAAAGCACTGTGTCGGAGAACTTGCAGCCTGACGAAGTCCGTTGCACGGGCTGCGAAAGCTTCGCCGTCGAGCAGACGATGACGACAAAGTCGTGGCACGCGAGAACCACCGCCTCTCAATGGTGCGCGTGCGGTAAACCAGAGTTGCCGAGTCCAGCCCGGTCAACGCGGACACCCACGGCGACTGCAGACGGCACGGAGAGCAGAGTGTGTCGCGCGCCTGCGCGATTCTCGCCCTCCGAGCTTCTCTTTGCAATGTCGAATTGGGTCCCGGAACAAAGTTGCCGACAGCGGGGCGATGCGTGCCGTCTCGTTGCTCGAGGTTGGCTGCCACCTGCGTCGGGGGTTCCGGCGGCCCGGGGTGCGAGCTTCCCAAAAACATGTCTCTGCGGGGCCCACCGTTACCACTGCCTTCGAAGAGGAGAGGGAGCGAAAGGGAGAAAGATAGGCACCCCCGATTCCGAGCTCGACTTCCGGCTAATCGCAGGGAGTTCCTCACGGCCTGTGGAACCTGGGAAAATATTCCAGAAATGCTGTCAGTGGAGCGCACAGTTTCTCGAGCCGCAGTCCGACTGCCCGTACATTGTTCAAAAGCCACCGTGCTCGCTCCAGACATGACAACTAAATTATCTCGGCCCACATGACTCGAGCCTGTTTGAAGTGTGCTGGCTTCATACATGTGTATGCTTAGAACATGCCTGCATGGAGTTTTCGTACGACCGCTGTGACGAGGAAGAGACGTGCCTCGGATAGTGCCTGCACACCGTCTTTTGTACGATGTATAAGCAACGTGGCTGCGACTTGAGCACAGTAGAACCTCGTTGATACAATCTTAGTTCGTACAACTTCCCGTCTCGTGCCTTCACGACCGAGGGCTTGAGAAATGTCCCATTCGTCCCACACGTTCCCGAATATCACGATTTCCTGGTTTAGTATGTTCAAAGTTTCGCCAAACACCGATCGGATTACGGTGGAGCCCCGGTTATACGACTTTTGCGGGACTGCACGAAATCATTGTATAATCCGCGAGTCGTATCGTCCGAGAAAAAACAACACAGACTAGCCCGGTTATAACAAACCCGTTTATAGCAAAATTGCGGTTATACCGAAGGAATTTGGATTTCCCATTCCCATTTTTGCATTTTTAATGCAATTTGGGTCCAGTTAGAACGAAGGAAATAAAAAAAAAAAGCCCCAGCAGATATAACAAAAACAAATTTCGTGTCAACCGGATAAAAAATCTAGCAATCACAAGCAATCACAATATTATACGACCTCTGGTACATTTTGAACACAACACAGCTCAAAATTCGGCTGCCGGAAGCCTCCACAGAGTCATCCGCTCTCTTTATCGTGTAGCTCCTATAAGATTGCTGCACTGCACCACTTCATGTGCCGCCGTGTCCTTGAGGCTCCTCAAAACAAACTGAAGGAGAAAAAAAAAACAGAAAGTGAAGTCGCTGACGGCAGCACTCTTAGCGGCCAATTATGGTTGTTTCTCTCTCGTTTGCTGTCACATGGCGGGTACAACTGCCGGAAGCACCAGAATAACTCGAAGTCTGCTGGGGTAGTTAACGCACCAGTAGCATCATTCACACACTTGCGAATCGCGAATAACACTCTTAAGTCTCGCGCAAGGTGCAGTTGTTGCGCAACACCAGCTCCAGAGTCATATCGTTTGGAGTTTCGAACACACCGCAGCACGGACAACGCGGGGCGCACATTGTTATCGTCCTTCGTCCTCTGCTTTTTCTATGGTACTGGGATGAAAAAGATTGAGAACCTGTGCTAACAACATACTCCTACAGCAAAACAGGTTGCCTGCCCCACCCTCCCCCCCTGCATAGCTGTCATGCGACAACATCCCAGCAGCATGAGACAACTTCCCATCAGCGCAGCAATGTCCCATGGCAGAGAAATATTGATCTCTAGGACAATTGCTGGATCGCCCCATCCCTGCTTGGTCGCTGCAGCATGAGTGCGGTCACCAAACGACCATCTTGCATGTAAAAAAAATTGTGTTTTTGGAGCGTTGCGGAAGCTGCCAGCAGCGTGCTGAAGACACGTTTTTCACTTGTTCGTCGTCATTCGCCAGAAAAGTTCTTTAAAGGGGTAAAGATTTTAGTGTTGAAAGAATAGGCAATTTGTATTTTTTATATTGTTTATCCAACTCAAGTGACCAAAAATGTGTCGCCTTGCCCCGAAAAACTGCTATTCGGTGCGTAATCGCGAAGAAAAAAAGAAAATGCAGTACACTCCCTTTAAACGAAACTCGACGGGCACAGTGAAATCTGTTTCATTTATCGGCAGTTTCATTTAAGGGGGACATGGGTCTTTAGACCAAAAAAATCACCAAAAAATCCATTTGCGACCTTTTCCAAAATAGGCCCAATCACTGGAAGGTTGGAGCTTCGGGCACGCTTAAACCACAGGAAAAGCGCCTTCTCGAGGCCCTTGTGGTCGGCTAGACACATCCTCTTCCTACTGGGGGCAAAAGCGCCGTCGTTGTGTGCCTTCTCAATCTTGTCACCATCCTTCAAAATCCTTGAAAGAGTGCACTTCGGGATGCCATGCCTTTTCGCGATGGCAGTCTTTGACTCCTGGCTGCCCGCTTCACGCCTTCAAGAATTTTCATTTTGCCGCTTAAAGACAACACATTACGCATGTGCTTTTTAGCGGTTCCTTTCATTTTCCACGCACGTAAAAAGAGGCACCCGTAGAGTCACGCATGTAAAACGCGACAGACCATAGCTGGACAAACACAATGTGGAAAATGGCGTCCACAAACAAAAGTGCACGGCGCGACTGGTGCAACCGCATTAGGTTGGATTCTGGATAACGACAAGAACGAAGTCAATATGAAGCTCAGTTTCGGTTTTGTTTATCAGTGTTTCCCGCAAAATGCTGTTTTGATTGTCGAGCACAACTTAGTACTAATTTTATAGGAAACCAATTAATTTTTTTAGATTTGTTTTGTTTAAGAGAAGTTTTCGTTTATGCAAGTTTCGTTTAGCGCGCGTCTACTGTATTTGCCGATCTGCAGCCACGTGTGGTGGTTAACGGAACTGATGTGCGACATACTCTCGGGGATACACGTAAGTGAACAAAACCTGTCCCCCTCCGCTGCTACACCCGCCGTCAACCCCGTAACGAACCATCTTTTGTGTCGATCATGCGCCGCGACCTTCAACGATGCTAATCCTTTAACAGTCGGTAATCGTGGAGGAAGCAGCTGGAGACTTTGGAGAGAGAACCCAAGGGTAACCCATGCAATCCCTTAGAGTATGTCACTCAAAAGGCGATGTGGGGAATTGAGAGGCACTTTGACCTTTGATTTGTTTAATTTTTTTACATAAAAACAAGCGCTCGCAAGAAGATACAGTTCTCCGTTCTTCGTTCCAAGGGTGACAGATTAATTTCCGCAGTTAATTGGCCAAAGTCTGAAAATTGTTGCACCGCCCTTTTAAGGGGGAACACTACCCAAAAATGTTAACTTTTGAACGGCTCCTTTAAAGCAACCTCAAATTGCAGGGCGAGATTCTATCACTACTGAGACCATCTGCAACGAATTTCATCATTCTAGTTTAATTGTGAAAGAAATTATACATTTCACAATATGAAAGTAGGAGCGTCTGTTTAGGAAAACTATCGTTTTGTAATAAAAGGAAAATTTTGAATTTTCTTGTGTTATATAACCTTAGGAATGGCCACAGCACATAACTGTGGAGTAATTTTTCAATGTTTACCCCTTTTCATAAATAAAACATAAAATCAAAAATAAAAAAATTTCAATTTTTTTTATTTTCTAAAAATTTCGATTTTTTAGCATGAAAGAAGGCAAACTTAAAAAAAAAAGAAAAGCACAGTGTTTTTCCTCACAAAATACCAATCCAGAAAGACTTTCAGAAAAAAATATTCGTTGCATATTCTGAAAACTATAGTTTTCCTAAGAGCGCAGTTTGCTAAAAAAGCATGAAATGAGAAAAATGCAGTCAAAGTGTCAACTACGTCCCCTTTTATTTTAAGAGCGTGTATGCTCTTAGAAAGCACCAGGGGCATAGGTGGAGCCTTCCTGTTCAACTTGATGCTGCTCAGTGACGACTGCTTCGAGCTTCCGCCTCTTCGTCGCCAGTTTTGAGCTCTGAAGCGCCTTTACTCGTGCTCGTGACACGCACAGTTTTGTGGCCTGCTCCACGTGCTTGATTGCGTGTGCACCACTAGCTATGTTCAGCTTCTGCAGGACTCGCTCGATACCCTTTGGGCCAGCGTTAAAAGTCTAGAACAGCAAAGGCTGCTGCCGTCTCGACTGTCTTCAGGGACGCAAATTCAGTCTTCGGGCACCTTTTCCACACCAAAGCATTGTATGATTCGTTAGCATTCTGTGTTTGCATCCTGGAACAGCGTGCCAAAAGGTCTGCCTTGGCCAGCCTGTTGTAAAGTGGCACCAGGTCCTTGGCAATGTCCTGGCTGAATGCTGGGCGGTGGGCCTGAGGAGCCGACGGCTTGCCAGCGTCGAGCAGGGCCTGGTGCCCATTGTAGTGGCACCAGGAATCCTCACCATGAGGGCAGGCGATGTGTCGAGGCTTGGTGTCTGTTGAATAGGAGTGCAACAGGCTTGCAAAGACGGCCCGCTGCATGCCCTTGACGTCTGGAGCGTTCTCCTTGAGGGCAGCAGCATAGTAAGCTGTTAACTTCTTTACCACAGCTTTCGTGAGTTTTCCCTTGCCTCCCAGGCCCCCCTTCTTTATGCTCTCAATGCCAGAGAAGACTCGTTTAGCCACTTGGTTGACACAGTCTTCTTTGGTTATCTCTTTGTCGTAAAGATTCAGCTTGGAGACATGCAAGAACGCCTTACTGTCTCCATCGCTTATTACAGTAGTGTACTGCATGTTGTGCAGTTCTTTGGACCGGCTGAATATGGTCCCAGCAGCCTCAACTTCCATGGCATTTGAGGAACCGTTGAAATTCTTTTGGCACGTCTCGTTGCGAGTCTCCATCCACTCCTCATGACCATCTTCGCTCTCCTTGGGTCCGATGCTGCAGCCATGGCAGTATTTGCTTGCCACTGAGAAGTCGAGCACAAGGCCCGAGTCAAGCTCAATCACAGCCCCAAGTCCGAAGTGTGAGGTGTGGCCCCGCTTGTGCCATGAGCCGTCGAAGCTAACACACACATCAACGACGGCACCACTGTCTTCTGGTTCTTTTTCTCTCCTTACCGCTTGCGCGGACTCCTGCATAACTTCGTGCGCAGCATCCATCGCGGCGCGATGAACTTTGTCCGAGACGGCTTGGTAAGTTTTCAAGTGCATGGGAGGTGGGGCGTCCATGCCTCCGAAAAAGTTTGTCATCTTCGTAAAATTTATGCCACAATTCCTACTCGCTACACCAAGACGCACGGGCAGCTCGGGCTGGCGACTCGATTCCAAGAACGGAGAGTGTGCCGCTTTCGCAACCTCCCCGCAGTCGAAGCGCTCGCTTGAGGCACTCGGGACAAAACAGCGGTTCTATTAGGGTTCCTAAAGCTGCCACGTTCACGAAACAGTAGCCAGTCAGTGGCTTTGGTTCACCGCTGGCATCAGCTGCCACACCTTCAGATGCATCGTCACGTTGGAGGAGTGCAGCCTTTCGTTCGAAAGCAGTCAGGTTGCTTTCGACGTCGTCGACAGAAGCTGAGCTTTCCGACGCCGAGGTAGTCGCGTCAAGACTCGGAAGAACTTCGGTCGTCGCTTGCATCCGGCCCGAGTCGCGCGAACATGGTGACGGCTCGAGCACGACCGGCCGCCCGTTGCTACGTCGGCCCCTCGGTTTTGTAAAACGGTTTCGTTTCCCAAATTTCTTCTTAGTGAAATGCTTTGTTGCGGGCATTTTGAGTGCGCAAATATGCGCACGGAAAGCGGCGAAACGATTAACAACCAGCATCGATAGGAATCAAAAGCGAAAACGACCGTAATGGCGGGGCTGGAAAGGCTCCATAGACCGCGAAAAGGTGTTCGAAGAGTCACGTGCTGCATTTGCACCAACCACAGTCCGAGTTTCGTTTTCATAGCCAATCCGGGCGAGTCATTTCTAGATTTTTACTTCTAGTTTGTTGGGCTCTGCACACGCCTCATTGCACTCTCGAAAACAGCGTGTGCACTCATTAGAAAGAAAAAAAAAAAAAATGTTTCCAACGAGGGTACACATGTCGCGTTAGGCCTACGCAGCGTCTCGTGGGTGCAAATTTAGAGACACTGTTTTCTGTGGCTCTCCCTGTGCCCGAAGCGGCGCGCGAGCGTCTCCGGCACGTGAATAAACATAAGTTTTTGCTGTTCTACGGCACAGATGTCAATAAAACTTTGCATATAGATTCCTTATTAGTAAAAGATTCCGATAAAAACAAAATCCCAAAACAAATTTTTTAGGCGAAAATCGCCGTTTTTTGCACCGTGTCCCCCCTTAAACCCCTGTGCAAGTGTGGGACTTGCCGCCGAGAATATGTGGAAATTTTTAGGGAAGCGTAGTGCCGCAGGAAAAAGACACAACTCGTCGAAAGAAAGTTTTGCCGGTCTCGCGGCATAGTCAAAGCTTCCTTGGCACAACAAAAGAACTGCATCTCTGTGCCTTCACACACTTGGATACTGATTGAGAATTGACACCGTGTGGATATGCTTTGCGAGTGCAATGTGTGTGATGCTGTATGTGTCTTTGGAGCAGCATTTTACTTTATTCTGACGACTGTATTGTAATTTGTGGCACTCGCGGTCCAGAAACAAGCTTAATGCAGCGTCCAGTGGCAATAGAAGAGGGGAGGGAAGGTAAGTCTTTTTCTCGTACGGTTTACAGAATACCGTGCACAACAGCTCCTCATCACTGATTAATGCTGGCTCATTATCAACCTACTTTATTGCACTTGACGTTTGATCGTGGCTCACCTAATTGTGATTGGTCAACAGATTGCACACAACCATATGGGCCACGAAGTTTCATTAACGCCGTCTTGTAGTTTTGCCTTCGAAAACCCTCCTTGCTCCACAGCATTGCTCTATTTGTGCTGCCATGTGATCCATTAGAGTAGATTTGGAACACAGCCATGGTTAATTAATAGTGCGTAAGAGCAACCATACAGATTGGTTTCCCCCCTTTATTAATAACAACTAGCCGGAACAGCTGGACGATCCAGAACTCTATGGCAGATATACGAGGCATTTACACGCAACACACTTTCAATACTTTCTGGCGGCGCCGATTCTTGATCAGTATCCAAGCGTGCGAAGACAGAGACACAGCGCTTCAGTGTACCAAGGAAGCTTTGATCACGCTGCGAGACTGGCGCAACTTGCTTTTGACGAATTGTGCCTTTTTCCTGCGACACTGCACTTCCGTAAAAATTTCCAAATGTTCTCAATGGCAAGTCTCATGAGTTTTAAAGACCTTCTTCGGCGAATGAAGACGAACAAGTAGAAAACGTGTCTTCAGAACGCTGTTGCCAGCTTCTGCAATGCTCCAAAAGCGCGATTTTTCGACATGCAAGATGGCTGTCCGGTGGCCGCACTCAGGGAGCAGGGATGCGCGATCCAGCAATTGTCATAGAGATCAGTGGCAGAGCAAGCACAATAAGATGACTTCACTGGGGCGCAGCAACGTCACCTGGCAGAGCGAGTGCAAAACGACGCCTCCACTGTAGCGCAGCAACATCAAGAAGCAGTTAGCACGAGACCGGTAAACACCACGAAACAAATTTCATTGCACTACCGCAGTGCCACAAAGCAGAGCTGGCTGCTGACAGCACCGCAGAGAAGGCAAATGTGTCTCACCTAGTGAGGTGCCTGCTGTCTTCGTGGACCCGCATCTCCATGCTTTTGAACTCGTTCAGTTCCTTCCTGATGGCCGCCTGAACAGTGGAACAGAAAGCACGCAAGTTGGGCGCAGTGAGTGAGACTGTGCTCGCGTCTCAACACAAATAGAGAATGGTTTGAGTTAGGCGACAGCAGCCTCGGCAGTGGTGCTTTCAAAAGTACCCTCGTACTGCCGGCGGTATGGATAAGGAAGCATGACAGCAATAACAAACTTGGACCTGGAGATTTAGGTGAAGCCTTCAAGGTCTTGGGAACCCCAAAATGATTGTTCCGCGCAAATCACTTGGATTGCGGCTAATTAACTTAGACAAGACGAGACTCTGGCAGTCACACAGATTGTTTCACTTGCCACTAGTCTTTTCAGTTTGCTTAGATAAATAAACACGTCCTCAATGTTTAAGTGGTTGTAAGGAAAGTCTTCCGTGATTTCCACTATTTTTTGATCAATCGATACCTAGACACCCCATACAATTTGATCTCGCGGAACTTTTACGCCTCCCGACTAATAGGTAGTCGAAGAACACCTTTTGGTCTTGGAATGGATGCAGTAAAGCAATACAGAAGCCTAGAGACCTTGTAAAAAAATACTGCCTATGCTGGATAGCCCTGACACATTGTTGCGCATCAATATATGGCTCAGATCCTCTAAAATCACGCTCAAACTGGAAGGGCACGTTATTTAGGGGAAGAGACAGCCAGAGAAATTTGGGAGCACAAGAGACGTCTGAGGGGACTTGGGAAAACCCCTGGGTTCCTAAGAACCAAGTTTGAGAAGCTGTGCTCTAAAATCTTGAGCCTGCATTGTAGTCCTCACCCATGAATGATTAAGAGGAAACAGTGGTCTTGGAGCTTTCTCCCTTATTTTTTGACCAAGCCCAATGAAACAACACAGGCTTTTTCACACTTGTGTGCCGATCTCAAATATGTTACCTTCTTTTAATTAGCAGATTAGTTCTTAGATTAACTAGAATAAACCAGACAGTTTCCAAAAACAACAGTTAAGAAACATTTTTAAAGAAGAAAGTTTCAACATACTGTCAGATACCGTCGCCAATCGATTTTTCGGACGCCGATAATTCGGACGTTTTCGCCGAATTGTCACTCGCCCCATAGGGTTAATGTATAACACTGAACGAAATTTCGGACGTCATAAAGCTTACTGCTCTATATTTCGGACATAATTTGCGTGATTTCCTCAGTATACAGCCACAAAACAGCTGCGACAATAGCACCGCGAGCTTAGTCGCCGTTATTTTGGTTTTTCCGATTTTGCCTTGTAGCCTCGATAACACGTCCTACGCAATAAACAAGCTGTGTTGAGGCTATAGTCAGGTTTTCCGGTTCCACTATAGCTAACATGGCCACTGTCTGCCCATTTTTATGGTTCTTCCAGTTCTTCTCGTGGTCCGTGTTTTTCGAGTGAGGCCGCCAGAAGAGCGGTCGTCTGCCGCTCTTGTGGTCTTTGAGCGCGAAGGTTTTCGGCTGATAGGTTTAGTATTGAAGCAAGCTTGGTGGACTAAATGTTTTCTCTAAATAGTGCCAAATGGCGCCAACTTCAACGTCGCTGTTTGTGCCAACAAGGGCACCGATAAAGCGCAGCACCATGATCAAACAGATCAACAAACAAGTGAGAAGTGAGAAGAGAATTGACATCAAGCAAGTGGAAAGTGGCCAATACACAGCGAAATATGCGCAACAATTTTATATTTTGGCTGAAATCGATTCTTTGGACTGCTTGATTATTCGGACAATTTTGGGGCTACTTTTGGCCCCGAAATTGGCACGAAAATCAGCGACTGTACAATAAATTATAAAGAGTACAATGTTGAAAGCACTTTTCAGATTGAATTCTTATTACTGACTTAGCAAAACATTCAAGTTCAGTGCTCAATGTGTGGCTACCAAGCAATAAAACAATAGTCCAGTTAAAAAAGTTCCAACACTTATATTGAAAAATCTGCTTCCAACATTGTATGCATTGCACATTGAGCTACATGTTGCTAAAAAAAGTAACATTTCCGTCTGCCCTGGATGCAAAGATATCCCTCGTGAAAATTTGTAAAAAGTCCAAAATTTGTTGTTTTGAGGAAGTTTTGTTCTAGCATCAGCCTCAGTGCTATTTCAGTGATATTACAGCTAAAATATTATTCCTCAAAACAAAAAGCTTGGCAGATCAAAAAAAAGAAAAAACCTGTAGATTTTAACATTAATATTTTTCAAACAACATTTTTTTAGGGATTGATGATTCACCAGAAGAAACTTGGAAACAATCCGAAACAAGGTTGATAGCATTTTGCACAAGGCAGCTAGGTTTCAGCCTTGATGCAAATAACATTGAACGGGCACACCGCTTGGGCAAGTTCGCAACGAACAAAAACCGTCCAATAATTGTTCAGCTGAGTCGATTCAAGGACAAGGAATTGATCCTGGCATGCGGGCCGAAACTGAAGGGAACCAACTTCGCAATTCGTGAAGACTTCTCGGCGGCAACGAGAGTAGCACGCAGCAAACTTCTTCAGTTCGCCAAACTAAAGAAATGTCCCTTCAAACTACGGCTCGATAGGCTCTATGTGGGCAACGTATGCTATACATACGACGCCAACTCGGATTTAGTGATCGAATCGCGGAGCTAACTATGCAATACCCGGAAAAACTGCACCGCCTCCGCAATAAAACATAAACCTGAAAAGCGATTGCAGTTCTCTGTCCTCTTCACTAATATACGTAGCGTCATGCCCAAGCGGGATGACTTACACGGCCTCATTGACGATAGCGCAGCCGACATTATCGTCCTCACAGAAACCTGGTTAACTGAACACATACATGACACTGAAATATTTCCACCCCACATGAACTACAATATCTATCGTCATGACCGGCGCTTGAGAAGGGGCGGTGGCGTCCTAGTTGCCATAAAAGATAACATATCCTCCTTCTGCATCAACCGCGATACTAATCTTGAGCTAATGTGGGTATGCGTCACATCACCCATTTCCGAAATAATAATCGGAATCTGCTACAGAGCACCCGACAGCAACAAGGACTTCACTGATAAGCTGCGCAACGCGCTCTACGAGCTTAGAAACACTCGTCGTAAAGCATCATTCTTCCTTTTCGGGGATTTTAACTTCCCAAATATCAACTGGACAGATCTAACAGTCGCAAACAAATCTGCAGAAAATGAATCGAGAAAATTTCTCGACCTAACTCTTGATTTTACGCTCACTCAAGTCATCATGCAACCAACAAGACTCGACAACACACTTGATCTTTTATTTTCTACCACCCCCGAACATATTCAGAACATCACTCATTCGCCAGGGTTAAGCGATCATCAAATGCTGTACATAACATTGTCGCTTCCCATTAACAGAAAAGCGCCTACACAAAAGTTTATTAAAGACTATAAGAGAGGAGACTTCACATCCATTAATCATGCACTGCAGGCCTATTACAATGACTTTAGTAGAACATTTAGCTCTAGAAATATTGAAGATAACTGGAATATATTCCGAACCAAGCTCAACGACCTCATCAACATATTTATCCCGAATGTCTGTGTTAAATCGGACAGAAACCACCCCTGGTTTAATAAAACTCTCAAGTCACTAAATAACAAAAAGAAACGCCTCTATCGAAAAGCTAAACAAAGCGGGCTTACCCAACATTGGGATGCCCATGGAATCATTTCAAGAGAATATACCGCAAATATCGAGCGTGCCAAGACAAAATTCCTATCTGATGACATGCCCTCTATCCTTCGATCTAATCCAACTCGATTTTGGCAACTTTTATCACCAAAATATCAATCGCGATCACTGGAACTAACCGACAGCAATAACGACCCAATCATCGACAGTGAATGTGCAACGGCCCTAAACGACTTCTTTGTATCTGTATTCACGACTGAAGACCTTGACAATCTACCTACACCTCTTCCGGTATCGAGCCATATCATGCCACCTGTAACGATATCACCTCTTGGAATAACTACGCTGATTAACAAACTGAAGCTTTCATCGTCAGCCGGGTCGGATAATATCAACTCCAAAATACTTAAGAACATCGATGTAATCGCCAGCTCATATCTTTCATTAATCTTCTCGCAATCCTTGTCTTGTGGCCGCTCTCCAAAAGATTGGAAACTTGGGAAAATAGTACCAGTCCATAAACATGGTAACCGATCACTTGCATCCAATTATTGTCCTATATCCTTAACGAGCGTCCCATCAAAACTTTTGGAGCATATACTCAGCACCAACATAATCAACCACTTGCACTCGATCAACTTTTTTTACTCTCACCAACACGGTTTCCTAAAAAATCGCTCTTGCGAAACCCAGCTTGCCGAATTCACTCACGACCTACACATTAATATGAATAACAATTATCAAACAGACGCCATATTCCTAGACTTCTCCAAGGCTTTCGACCGAGTTCCGCATAATCGCCTCTTCTCTAAACTTTCAAGGCTCGGTATTGACAAAACTATAATTTCTTGGATTCGGGATTTCCTTACGTCGCGAGTTCAGTTTACCATTGCTAACAATCATCAATCACCCCTTGCTGACGTAACATCAGGCGTTCCCCAGGGAGCAGGGCTCTCCCCACTCCTATTTCTCATATATATAAATGATCTTCCGCATAACATCGACTCAAAAATTAGGCTGTTCGCAGACGATTGCGTTGTTTACCGACCAGTCGCAAACTGCTCTGATCATATCACCCTGCAGAGGGATCTAACAAGAATTAACACTTGGTGCGATCGTTGGCTTATGCCTCTTAACTACGAGAAGTGCAAACTTGTATCATTCACGCGGAAAAAATCTACTCTTTCTTACTCATACTCACTTGATGGCGTTTCAATTGGCTCTACTCCCTCATACAAGTACCTCGGTATCCATCTGTCTTCCACACTTTCTTGGATTCATCATATCGACGTCATCCCTGCTGATGCTTCGCGGACTCTCGGCTACTTAAAGCGGAATCTAAAATCAGCACCTTCTCACCTAAAGCAACTAGCGTACACTACATTCGTCCGCCCCAAACTCGAGTACGCCTCGTCCATCTGGCATCCATCACAAGCTTACCTCAGCGACAGTCTGGAAGGAATTCAAAATCGTGCAGCCCGATTCATTTCATCAGCATACTCCCGCGACACCAGCGTGACACAGCTTAAACTTACTCTCGAGCTTCCACTGCTCTCTGACCGCAGAATAATCTCGCGATTATGTCTCTTACATAAATTTTACCACACTAACACCAACTTATCTAACTCCCTGATATCACCTCCTGACAGAATTTCGTCACGCCTCAATCACAGCCGTTGCATCAAACGCATAACAGGCAAAACGTTAGCATTTAATACGTCATTCTTTCCTCATGCCATAACTATCTGGAACTCTCTTCCTGAAAAAATCATCCTTATTAGTGACCAATCCGCTTTTCGCCAATCAGTGACTGCACATATCCAATAAATTTTAACCATTTTAACCTGTATTAGTGTGACTATTGATTTTACATCAATTTTTTGTTTGTTCTATTTTTGTGTTTATATGTTTTGTATTACCCCACAAGCTTCCCCCCCTTATGTAATGCCCCACAGGGCCCTTAAGGAGAAATAAATGAAATGAAATGAAATTTCTTGGCTCCAATGATTCCATAAACTGATGCCTCACCAAAATTTGGATTTTGCAAAATAAGGACGCAGAAGCGTTGAAAGGGACTCTACAAACTCCAAAACATCACTCACACATTGATATCTTAAACGGATGGCCATACTTTTGGAACAGAAAGGCGCGATCCAGCGAGGATTGTGCCATCACAATCCCCCTGGAACAGTTGAGAATGAGGGGAAGCGGCCTTGCACTTCTCTCCTGCTCGCTTCGGTTCACCAGCTCGAGGGAACGAAGCTAAGAGGAGAGGGAATCAGAATCCTGACGTCACGTCCCCAACAGTCCCAATCGCGTGCTTCCTTTCCGTAAGTATAGTCAATCGTTAGAGATATCGCTGTACGAGTGAAGTTTTGGGGTTTTGAAGCATCCCGCCTATCACTCCAGCCTTGTTTAGCGAGCTCCAAATTTCAGTTCAGCATCCCAAGGGGATACTTCAACGAAATTTGAAATATGCTCGTCGTGTTCAAGAATAGGTTGAATATGATCCACAATATCCGTAAAGGACAATCGCATGTTAGTATATTGAGCCTGGTGGCTGTATTTTTCGTTATAAATAACCCACTCTGGCAAGCACTCCGAGAAGGCCCAGCGGAGACCACGTGACATCCAACGCAATCGTGATGTAGTTTGTCTCGGGACGAGCAAAGCTACGGCGAGGCTGAAGTCGAGAGGATGGCCTAGTCGTTCCAGCCACCGAAGCAGCTGCTTTTGTGCGAATTTTGAGTGACGAGTTAATCTTCTATAATCTTGTAAAGGGACAATAGCTACTTCGGGGTCCCACAAAAGGGATTCTCGGGAAAAAGAGAGTTCCTTCTTCCCCTCTTCTCTCGTCGTGGCCAAAGGCGAGACAAACTTCGTCACTAGCTGTCAAGGTTCCTAGACGGGCATTACAAGCGAGGCATTAGCGACAACCAGCAGGGGCTCTTTGCTAATCGTTTAATTCACTTTAAAATTCATTTTGATGTCTTTGTTAACAGAATATTGGTGCGTCTGATGTGATACTGCTCCTTTGAACACATATAGACTAAAAAATAAGTGCCGAAATTTCGTTGTAGTATCCCTTTAAGGGGGGACATGGCCTGGGGGTATCAACTTTTGAACCCTTTATCGAAATTGATTGAAATTTGCAGGGTAAATGGAACACTGTGAGAGAAGATAACAAACAAACTTTCAGCATTGTAGCCCAATTGTGCAACATATTACATTTCTCAGGCTCCAGAAAAGAGGGCCCTCCCTAAGTAATGTATCAAAGAAAAATTTTAGTAGCAATTCATGAAATCTGTGCTTTAATGTTTAGTACAATACACATACTGCAACTTAAGGTAAAAATAAGTTCCGAAAAATGTAATTATAAAACAAAAAAACACAAATTAAAAAAAAAAAAAAAATTTTTTTTGTGTGTTTAAAGTTTTTTAGTTTTACTATGAAAGAGTGAGTTTTTTTTCAGACTATAGGTACCTTAACTTGTTCGCTGGAAAATTTCAGTCTGGGAATACCCTTAATGATGCCTTTCCATATTCAGGATGTGAAATGATACATTTCCTCGCACAACATTACCCGCCAAAAAGTGAAACCGAGATAAATGCATTTGAAGTTTCAGCTTGAGGCTTCTTTATTCTCGGTAGGTCCCAGGGGCTTAGAATGCACCTGGAGCATAGGTGGTACCCTCGGCTTCGAGGCTGTGCTGCTCCCGGACTATAGCCTCAAGCTTGCGCCGCTTGTGAGCAAGCTTCGATGAGTGAAGTGCCCGGTCCTTTGCCTTCGCGATCTTGCCCCGAGTCGCCTTGTAGGAGTGCTTCTCCTGGTGGCTTCCAGGGCTGATCTCCATCTGCAGGAGTGCCCTTTCGAAGCCTCTTGGACCAAGGTTAAACTCTAGCACTGCTAGAGCGACTGCAGTCTCTACAGTGCGCAGTGAGGCGAATTCTGTTTTAGGGCAACGCTTCCAGATGAGCGCGTTAAAACTCTCATTTGCATTTTGGGTCTTCATGCGTGAGCATCGAGTGAGCAAGTCCTGCTCTGCAAGCCGGTTATACAGCGGAACAAGTTCCTTCGCAACATCCTTAGAGAAGGCTGGTCGGTGTGGTTTTGCTGCCGTAGGCTTCCCTGCTGCTTTGAGAGCCTCGTGGCGGTTATGGTGGCACCACGATTCTTCGCCTTCCGGACAGGCTAGGTGTCGGGGCTCCTGGTCTGTGGAGTAGGTATGAAGAAGGCTGGCAATGACAGCTCGCTGCATCTTCTTGACGTCAGGGGCGTTGTCCTTCAAGGCACATGCGTAGTAACTTGTGAGCTTCTTCATGACGACATTGGTAAGCTTTCCTTTTCCTCCGAGTCCTTTTTTGGCCTTTTTCAGCTTTTCCAATCCCGCGTACATCCTCTTTGCTACATGATTTACGCAATCTTCTTTCTGGATAGGCTTGTCGTAAAGCTCAAGGCTAGCGACGTGTGTGAAAGCCTTGCTGTCGCCATCACACAGGACAGCGACATACTGCATGTTATGCAGTTCGACGGAGCGGCTGAAGATGGTTGCAGCCGCCGCCACTTCCATCGCATTTGAAGATCCCTCGAAGTTTTTCTGGCAGGTTTCTGCATGACTTTGTGCCCACTCCTCAAATCCGTCACTTCCTTCCTTGGGGCCCAACTGGCACCCATGGCAGTACTTGCTTTTCACCGAAAAGTCGATAACAAAACCAGTCTCCAGCTCAATGGCAACGCCAACTCCAAACTGTGATGTGTGTCCGCGTTTATGCCATGTGCCATCAAAGGTTATGCAGATGTCTAGAAGATCGTTCTCGGCACTGGTTTCCGCGGCCAGTTGTCCTTTTCTGACAGCTTCTGCAGCTTCCTTCATTACTTCGCTCGCCGCCAGCATCGCTGCGTCGTGCACTTTAGCCGCGATCTTCTGATGAGACTTCAAATGCATAGGAGGCGGAGCATTTAGGCCACCGAAGAGATTCGTGAGCTTCGTAAAGCCAATTCCACAGTCTCTTCCTACAACGCCCAGACGCATCGCTAGTTCGCTTTGACGAGACTTGCCGATTGATGGTGAGTGCGGTGTGGCAACGATGTCTCCGCAAGACGTGCATCCAACAACAAATTGCAGATCGGCACCAGTCCCCGATTCCTGCAAACTGAGTTCCCCTCCATGGCACTTGGGGCAGTCCAAAGCGTCGATTAGCGCTTGCACGGCCGACACATTGAGAAGGCGATAGCCTTCCGGAGGTCCTTCGACAGGAGTGTCCGCCGTTTCTACGTCGTCCACATTGCACTCAAGAAGACCAAGCTTCCGCTCAAACGCTGTCAGGATATCCGTTTCAGTGAAGGCTGGATGGTCCTCAGCATTTGATGTTGATGCAACAGGCTCCGATGTCAGCTGGGAACTGGAGGATCGCGACGCCGGCGATGAAGGTGGTGACGGCGACGACGACGGCGGCGGCGACGACAGTACGGCGCGCCTCTTGCGGGGCTTCCTCCCGACCAACCTCTCTTTTTTCGAGACCGAGAACGTCGGCCAAAGCTACAACGAATGCTAGCTTTGATGGCAGGCATTCCTCGGCAGAACTACCAAGAACAAAGAGGAAAACGAATCTAACGAGCTGCGATGTAGTGATACGATCCGGAGCGAAAGAGTCTGACGAAAACGCGCGATCGCCGTAAACAAAGCATGACATCACCAAGCACAGCTAATCGTAAGCGCGGTTTCGGTTTTCAACCAACGGGATCGCTCGTATCGCATTTGCCTCTTTTTTTGTGCTTGGATGTGCGGGGCTCTCCTGGGACGACGATACCCTCTAACGTGGGAAGCTTCTCGCGGCAAAAACTAGAAGAAACGGTGCTTCCAACGAGGCTAAAATGTCCCAGCTACGCTGAACGGGCGCGGAGTAGTCCTAGTTTGAAAACGCCGATCCTCGCTGTTTGCTCGCTCGGCGGGACATCGCGTGCGGCCACCAGCGCGCCGAAAATAATTTTTAGTTAAATAAATACTGCATATTTATCAATAAAACTTTCTGAAACTGTGCGTGGGAAGTTAGTAAACCCAAATATTCAATTTTTAAAAAATGAATTTTTTCGGGAAAAAATTGAATTTCGAGGCCGTGTCCCCCCTTAAGGGCGGGGCAGTCCCGAGAAGCCGCTTCGCGTTAAAATTAAGTACGCAAAAGTGCCAAAAGGGCGGTCACCCACACGTGCATACCTTGTCTTTGGGCGTGAGCCTAGTCCAGGGTTTATCTGCCCTGCGGTCGTAGTCTTGCGCCTGAGTCACCTCCACGTAGTCATTGAAGCGAATGATCTTCCTCTCCTTCAGCTCTTCGATGGTGGGCCTGAAGCTCAGCTGCAAGGCGGGGACAGAACCACCACGCTCAGTCACACACGTGGCAACCGTAGCGCTCGTCCCGCCTCGGAGAGTTTTTGAACGTTCGGCCGCACCGCACCGGGGGAAAGCCGAGGCGGCCCGTCTCACACCCCTACTTGAACGTCGAGAGGCCGCAAGGCAGTAGCTGTTCAAACGGTAGCCACACTGCTTGTGAACGCATCCAGCGTGTCGAAGAGGCCGGTTTCAAGCTTTTGCATTTGAGTGCGATTGGCTGCGTCGCGGCCGCTCGTAACCGCCTACGATGGAAGAGCACCTTGGCACACTGGGGCCCTCTATCGGAGAGTTCTGCAACTCTTCCAATCTGCATGCGACTAGAGTGAAGGTGTCGCAGTACTTGTGAGAAATGGTCTCTTATGATATTGTCAAAATTACTTCGAGTACACAATGAAAGTATAATGGGAACCTATGTGCGATTACAAGGAGTTGCAATGCGGTCGGCCACACCGAAATGTACAAGTGTGAACCGGCTTTAACTTCCCGCAAAACACAAAGGTGGCCAATCTGCACAATTGTGGCGTTCCAGAGAAGACGGCACCTTTTGAAAGGAGGCTCGACATAGGAGCAGGAAAGGCACGGGGAAGAACATGGGATTGGGTTACAAGCACCTACCTTTCGTATCAACACTTTTTTCTTTTGCTCTTTTTCCTTCTTGAGCTCTTCAGCAGTCTGAACTGCAAGACAAAGAGAGAGAGAGAGAGAAACAAACAGTCAGGAAACTCCAGAAGCAAGAGAACAAGAAGAAAATTGGGCTGTCACTTTGGTATATCCCAAAGGCACTCTAAATGCATGGTATTTATAGAGCTTCTGCAACATCCAGTCTATCATGAAGCAGGAAAAAGAGCTTTTGGAACTTAAACGCACACATCGTCGTTTATATTGCTGCAAATATTATGTTACGATTCACGAGTTGGCCTGTCCAACTAAAAGGCAACGTGTACTTTGCTTTCTCAGTTATGTGTAACCTTTTGTTAGCATCGATGGTACCAGCAGGAGCAATTCCCCTAAAAACACACAATTAGCTATTTTATCGAGTGTAGAAGGAGGGATGGGCAAATATTGGGTTATTACGAATAGCCCATCCAATTCTGTTCTATTCGACATATGCTTCGAATCGAATTTAACTATTCGATTATGTCGATTTATTCAACAATATAGAATTATTCAACCTTTCCAAATACACTGGCTTGGAATTCCCCACAGGTGGCGCAAGCCTCCGGCCATTTCGTGCTCCCAAACTCGGTACACTTGAAATTAACAATTGCAGTACTTCTTATACCAAATAAGGGCAAATATAAAACTAAATAAAGTTTAGACATATCTTGAGGTATTTGTTGCTTTTACTATTTTAACTATTCAATTCAAAAGGATTCGGCCAAAATCACTATTCGCTTCGAATTCGATTCCGAGCCAAAATCCTCTATTCGCCCATGCCTATATAGAAGCACCAGACACTGTAACAAGATAAGCACTGATGAAGGACAGGACAAACTGCAGTGAATGGTTACTTTAGGTACAGAATCCCACTGAAATAATGTTAGAATACAATAATTTCAAACACCTAAAATAATGTTAGAATACAATATTTTAAGCATCTTATTTTATGTTTCCCTCAAGCTCAAGAGGTTGTAATAAACTGCACTACTTCATTCAGATTAAAAAAACAAAGCATGAAAAATAAACCTACAGGGGAGTCCACATAAATCTTCTAGCAGTACCGAAGTATCCTCGCTAAATCTTAAATCGGAAAAGACCCCGCCAGGATATCGCAGCTGAAGTTTTATTCAGAAATTATGCCACATCTCACTCTGGAGGGGTGCTCTCCCCTTAGCGTGCGGGTGCGCTGCGGCAAAGCAAGACATGCAAAATCGCTATGACTACGTTCTCACTTCACTCACCCTTTAGGACATACCACAAGCGTGAACATTTTTGCAAAACTTCCAAGCACTGTTTGCGTTTGACGTGAAATTAAATCAAATAGTACATTATTTGAGGCGACTATCGAAAGTTCTGAAAACCCGCACAAGCACATTGTAACGACCCGGCCACAGCTATTTAATTTAAGCATCATTAAAGTGAAATGAAGCTTTGGCGCAGTGTAGGTGCAAATTCCTCGCATGTTGGTAAAGGATAAGCCCCTTGGCACAAATGGTGCAGCAATCACATCACTACATTAAGTCATGCAACTTCATGACACCATGTCTTAAAGGGGAGATGGGGCACTTCTACATTTGAGAAAAAACGCTTGAATTGCGTTCATTTGGCCTTTAGATTAACAGATATCAAAATTGTATGTCAATGCAAAGCGCCGGAGAGCCATAAGAGCAATTTTAAAATAGGACTGAAGCCCCGCCTCCCTAGCCTTGGGCAGCCAAAAGAGCCGTCGATGACATCACGGACAGCGACTGTCTTTGGCGTTTTTCTCGCGTTTAACAAATCTTACGCAGCAAATGGTTTGGGTATTCGGGTTCACTGGGTAAAAATACACTAGAATTCACTTCTAACTCATTTTTTCCAAGAAGCTCCGTAGCTTCCCTTTAATGACACATTATAACATGACTTCACGTCACATTGTCACGTCACAGTGCCACCCTACGTGGCAGAGTCATCACGATGTCACATAATGTCAGTGTCACGCGACGTCGGCGCCACACAACGACCGTCACGTGAATACCGTGACACAACCACGGTGTTCACATGATGACGTCACCATCAAGGCAACATGCCACGGAAGCGATAAGAGCTGGCCCCAAAGATCCATTGACACCTACGTTTCAGGATATTCCTCTGCTCCAGTTCCTCCACCGTCGGACGCAAACTTAGCCTCCTGCAGACGGGAACGAGAAAAAGGGCACACGTGTTTCACACCTTGTTGGAAGAGATCAAGGAGGAACTCTGCTCAGGGACAACAATCTTTGATACTTCGGAAGACGACGGCATGTGTCCGGCTTTGACCGGTGCTTAAAGGGATACTGAACCGAAATTTCGAACTTACAAAACAAGGTTGGACAGATAGGCGGGACGATGCAAAACCCAAAAACATCACTCATACACCGATATCTCTAACGGATCGCCATATTTTTAGAAAAGAAGCGCCCGACTAAACCCGGCCGACGAGGCCGTCAAGGCAAGGCACGTCACGATTCTTACTCCCTCTCCTCCTCACTACGTCCCGTGTCGAGCTGGTGAACCGAAGCGAGGAGGAGAGAAGCGAGGCCGCTCCCCCTCATTCTCAAATTCTCCCGAAGGTCAGTGATGTCAGAGGCCTCGCTTGATCGCGCCCTTCTTTTCGAAAAGTGCGGCCATCCGTTTGAGATATCGATGTACGAGCAATGTTTCGGAGTTCGTAGAGTCCCGTTCAACGCTTCTAGAGCCTTATTTTGCGAAATTCAAATTTCGATTCAGTATCCCTTTAAGGTGCGCGGGTACTGATACAAAGGGAAACTGGGGGCATTTGAATGCCAGACCCTGCGTAAGGAGCAGAAGACGCTCTGGTCCGCTCCGATTGGAGGAAGACAGTGAATAGAACTTTACCCACTAATCCTTCCAATCAGAGCTTAGCGCTCTCATCTCCTCCTCTCCCACGGTTTTTCTCCACACAGCTTTGGCTTCAATGCCATGAAACGTTGTTCCCGAGTATAAACACTGCACGGACGCCCTAGCTGCTTGAATACCGAACAATATACTAAGGTACTCTACGTACGACGCTGGAAGCAGATATGACAATTGCCATCTTGTCCTCAAAATCGCCCTGGAAATCGTATGTACTCGCATAATGAACGCACCCTCTACAATAGGCATCAATATTTGGGTGTTTCTTTTCCCTCGCATAATGAAAGCACCTCCAATTTTCGGCTCAGCGAGTCTTGAACTGCGTTCAACTTAGCTAGCCACCACGCCAATTCTCCTTAGCAGCTAAGTGGCCACGCCAAGTTGAGCCAAGCCAAGCTGCTCTCGTAATGGTTGCAAGTGAGTAGTTGCAGAAATGATCAACCGTGAGGCCAACCATGCACACCTAACGAAGCTGGAGTCGAATTGCTCAGTCCCGGACATGCTTTGCCCATTGGATGCATTAATGTCAACAAACACGCCGTCGTCCGTGGTCCGCTTTCGGACAGTGGAAACGTGAAAGTGGTTAGGCCCAAGAACAGTCGCGTTGCTCTCTGTGCTGAGTGAGCTTCGTAGGGCGCCTTTCCTTAAGGCACGCCAAAAGCGCCCTAATAAAGGCTCGCAAGTTATAGAGCACAGTTAACATGGCACGCCCACAACCAGCCATGGGTGTGCCTCTGTCAGTAGAGACGTGCCACAGTACCCCGACGCATCATATTGGCACCTAAAATAACATTTGCGCAAGTGTGTAAATGCACAAATTTTGCCGAGCTTGATGAACCCCAAATAAGTGTTGATTTTTCGAGAAAAAAATTGTGTTTGTTACGCGAAGAAATACGATAGCTAACAGTACCTAGCTGCTATTTTTTTGGTAGGGCCGATCACCCCAGTCGTTCGAGCGCACCGATTAAGTTTGGAAAGTGGCGTGAACACGGGTGTATATTATTGAACTTGGAGCTTAGGAAGCGTTTCGTCGGGAGTTGAGAAAAGCATGCGACACCTGAATCTTGTATGAGCACACTTGATGGTGTGTGGCACACTGTGCTCTCGTGGAACACTCTCCACAGGAATGCACACAATCTTTTCCAAACACTTCCGTCGAGAGGCAGTGTGGCAAAGTGTGCGTCGTTATTGTGCATATAAAAGCTGCCACGATACTAACTACTGTAATACAGTGAGATGCCCCACCCTAAAAAGATAACCCATCTTTCTTTTCGGCCCGATTTGCCATTTCTCACAAACACCAAAAGATAGTCCACTTCTAGTAACTGCAGGGCCCTGGCCAATGATTGATTACCTTGGCAGAAATGGTGTTACTTAGCCACGGTGGAAGATAAGCAAACATTGCTGGCCAGGAAGGACAGTAGTCTTCGGTTCGTCACCCTTTCCTACGATCACAAGTTTCGCAGGTCACAAAATCTAAAACTATCATTTTTTAAACTTTTTTTTGTTGCACATTGAAAGTTGCCTATTCCTTATTTTTGCCCGATCTGCTTTCGAGTTTAGGTGTGCTATCTCTCGGGATGTTACGGTAGAGTCACTGCAACTTTTTCGACACGTTTTGTTTCCCGTAGATCGTTTCGGAAACCTTGATAAGCCGGGAGGCAATGGCAGAGACGACACGCACCTTGTTAATTTGTTTCCGACGGCTTCCCGTGACTCCTGACGCTCCCTGTCCGACTGCATGAGCAGGATATTCTTGTCAATGAGCTCCTGCCGGTCCGGACGCTGGGCAAGCTTCAGGGCTAGGGAGTCCTTGCGGGCGATCTTGGCCGCCAGGCGACCTGCAATTCCAAAGAAGGGAACCAAATTGTCAACCAGTCGACGTTTGTTCGTCGGGTCACAAATCTATCTTACGCACAAAGCACCCCCGTGTGGCTCGTGCATAGGGTCGCAACAGAGCTTCAACCAAATTTATGCAATTTCAAAAGCAAGCTCTTACAGTAAACATCTAGCATGTGTCCATGCGAAGAGACCACCAACAAAGGGGGTGCTTCGGCAAAAGCGGAATGCCAATTAACATCAAATGCAGCTGCTCGCTTTGCCTTTCACCCCACTATTTCATGCCTCCGCATTTCGTCCTAAGCCACTCGTTGACTTATCCCTTGCCTCCTGCACACTCTCCCACCCTATGTGCCAGCATGCGTTCTCGACATTTCCAAGATGCCAGTGCAGGCCGTAGACCGGCCCGAATAGTTTATGCGACGGAGTCGTTTGCACTGGGCTGTTGTAATGCAAAATTTCAGCCGATGAAGAAGACCCTACGAGACGGGTTAAGTTCGGTGCAATTTGCCGATTTTTCGTCGCATACACCAGGTTACGTTCCAGTGGCAAGAAAAGAAGAAAAAGAAGAAATTGCCTTGTTGAGACGTTTTGTCGGATGCTTGATTAGGTTTTTAACGAGCAACACTTTCTATTGAAATAACATGCAACATGTGGCAAAGAAATTGTGAATGCCACAACGACTCTCTCTTCCTCCATGCACCTCTTCTTGGGGGCACTCCATCATTTTCCCTGAAATGCTGCTGGACGTACAATACGACCGTAAAATGCCTTTGCACCTGCTAGGTTATCCCATTAGCACACCGGCCCAACGTTAGTAAGCCGTAAACCGGGAGCAAGAGAGCGAAACGTTGGGGCACCATTTCCCATCGTTCACTCCGCACAACGCTACGCCGTCAGTCGTGCACACTACAACATAAAGGCAACAGCTGCACTCCTTTACCGACACCTTGCCATGGCGTGACTGACACCAACGCCAGTGAGCGAGCTCCGTGCGGGGTTCTCGTATAAAGACGTTTGCTTTAGAAAGAAGCCAAGGGAAGCGACGGTGCCTCACCCTGCTCGTCATCGCCGTAGTAGTCCCTCCAGTTGATGGGACCGTCGTCGTCCGAGTCCGAGTCGGAGTCCCCTGGCCGGCTATTTTCCTTGTCACAGTCCGTCAGCCGCAGGGCGGGGGGAGGGGGTAGGGGGCACTGGGGGCTGCCCAAGCCTCCCTGGCCACGCGTGGGACGCAGCCTGCAGGGAGGGGGACAGTCAGGGCACCGGGGAGAGAAAGGCACACGTGGTCTGCGTCTGCATCGTCTGCGTTGTTTTCCAATTTACTGCAAAGCTGAAACGTGAACAAGGCGGTAAGTTGGGCGAGTTGGTTGAACATCTTCAAACGTGAAAACAGAGCAAAAATTTGACAAAGGACGACTGAAAGAGTGCAGGGACAAAGCGCTGACTATCAACTAACGTTTAATTTTCAAGTGAACCAGAAGATAAACACAGGGAGCATAGAAAAGAACTAATCAAGACACAAAAGTACAAGAACCCAACCAACAAGATTTCTACTACGTCATCACCTTCACACATGCCTGCCATCCTCCTTGATAAAAAGGACTTCATCATCCCCCAAGCGCACCGACAGTGCACTCAGACATTACCCTTCCCCATTCGATAAAATAAAAAATGCCTCTTTAATCTCTCTGGCAGTCTTACTTTTATTACGCGCCAAGATCGTCAAGTCATCAAATTCATCATCCCCCAAGTGCACTCAGACATTAGCCTTCCCCTTTTGATAAAATAAAAAAATGCCTCTTCTATCTCTCTGGCGGTCTTACTTTTTTTTTAGCGCCAAGATCGTCAAGTCATTGATCTTGACGATCTTGGAGCGTAATAAAAGTAAGACCGCCAGAGGGATTGAAGAGGCATTTTTTCATTTATCAAAAGGGGAAGGGCAATGTCTGAGTGCACTGTCAGTGCACTTGGGGGATGATGAAGTCCTTTTTATCAAGGAGAATGGCAGGCACGTGTGAGGGTGATGTAGTAGAAATCTTGTCGGTCCGGTTGTACTTTTGTGTCTTGACTGGTTCTTTTCTATGCTCCCTGTGTTTATCTTCTGGTTCACTTGAAAATTAAACGTTAGTTGATAGTCACCGCTTTGTCCATGCACTTCTTTTCACTCGTCCTTTGACAAATTTTTGCGCTGTTTTCACGTCTGAGAGGTGAAGCCTGGACAAAAGTATGGCCTCAAAGCTCCACACCGATTAGTTTTGAAAGGGGGAGGGGGTCAAGAGGCCATCGCAGTAGAAAGAGCGTTTGCGCCAGGGGAACAGAACCCTAACTATTTAGATTATTAAGCGAGTGTCTTTCCAGCAGTGTCGCGACACATCGCCGCGAGCTAACGTGCCGTTTGGTGGGAAAGCCCCTGGGAACTTCAACCCTGCGTCCGGCAGATAGCAACTTGACACCCTGTCGCACGTGTCTGGAACCCGGGTTAGCACCGGTGTCTCCATTCCAGGAATTGCTATACAGTGCACATGCCATGCGCTAAGCCAGTCACCAAGCTCACCGATAAAGAGCGCCGAGAGTGTAATACCGCATGTTTCACGTGTAACACAATTGCCTGGCAATTTGCTACGCGTTTTTTGCTTCATTCGAAACAACTGTTTTCGTTTGAATGGGCTATCGACGACCCCGACGCAAGTGCTTTCTTTATTGCTTGAAATGCTAAGGACAGTGCAGTATTTTCGTGCCTTGCTGATATAGGTCCCATTGATAGACCGCTTCTGTCAAATTACCCGAGCATCGAAGACAATGCCGGAAACATAGATACACACGCTGCACATACTGGCATCTGCAGCAGTAATTGTTCGAAAGCAAAAATCTAGAACAAGTGACACTTTGCACAATGTTTCTGTACACCTTATTTTGGTTAATTACTTTGAATCTTTCATATAGGGGAGCTGAGCACACGCATCACTTGTGCCTACGTTTTCCCAGCAACCTCTTTGGTACTCCGAAATTTTAGCAAATGGTCTAATAGACACCCCAACGTATCGACAAAATTTTCAGGGACCCACCGTTCCCCAAACGATCCCGCTCCGTCAATGTAGAAACTTGCAGAACGGACTGCGGACAGCCACAAGGGTCGGTCAAGGTTGACTGGAATATTTATTCCTACAGAGGAAACTAAAAACCCAACAAGCAAGGAAATACGCCAATGTTTTGTAGTATTCCCCGCATGCATCCACGTATTGCTGCCATTCTTTTGGCAGCTCCCCATTTCCTCTGGCGTAAAAAAGACTGGGCTGCGCGATTGCAGTCGGACTAATGAGTTCGTGCGATTCATCTATCACCTTCTGTCGTCCTTTGCCAAACCGTTGACATTACTCATACCCTCTCGTCCGTGACAATGTTTGTTCCCTATACTGTGCTTGCAATCTTCTCAAAATTTCAGCCGATTTGACTTTTAAGGGCGAAGCTCCTTAAGGGTCTAGCCTCGTCCATCCGGCGTCCGTGCTCATATCAATTGCACTGCCTCCGGGATCGGCCTACTTTAAAAACAAAACAATGTATGCCCGCACAGGGTTTCGAACTCAGGACCGCTTGCTTACGAGGCAGACGTCTTAATCACTATGCTAGACTCCAACGTTGCATGTAGCCGCTCAACGTCTTTACAGCAGAGCGTGCTGCGGTCAAATGCATATATAATCGCGTTAACCTTTGCATGCATCGGCTCAATGTTTATAGACGAGAGGGCGCTGCGGTGAAATGCTCAACTGCGTATATAACCGCGATCCATACCACATATTCTTTCTGACATGGACCGTTGACTTAAGGGGGGACACTGGCTAGAGGTTCAACTTCTGAACTACTCAAGGAATCAGAATAAAATTTGCAGGGGAGAGTTAACTTCAGATGTAGGTGTATGGTGCAAACTTTCAGCTCTCTAGGACAACTTTACATACCTGCACAAGAAGATGTGTCTTCGTTAAGAAATCTATGATATGCAAATGAAGCTATTAGGCACCATTTTAACTGCTTGAGTATAAAGTGGGGGATATGGAACTTTGGGCTATCTAGTCTTTATAACTGAAATGTAAATATTTTAGGAAGAGTGATTACCTCAAAACATGAGATGCATATCTGTCCTATGTCCATTTTTGAAGACATAGTTTTTTCAATGAGGACTTTAATGCAAAACAACATAAAGTAGATAGCCTGATTCCCCAGTAAATTTCAGTTCAGAAACATCTTGATTGTGATATCAGAATATTTTTACCTTCTAACAAAAGATTCCTTGGTATAAAATTAGCAGCAAAAAGTGGAACTGAGAAAAATGCATTCAAACATTGAACCCCTTTACATTGTTACTGCCTCACAATGTGTTGAAAATGTTTTATATCAACGGGACTATTTGGCGCGTAGTTAGGAAATTTAGTGTAAGGGTGTATAATCAGTTTCTAAAACCGAAAATCTCAAAATTGAAATATGAATTTTTTTCAAAATATTTTGAAGCTTAGGCCTATGTCCCCCCTTAAGCGGTGGAGATGCGTTCCCACGGCTTCTAGCGGATCCAAGCTGATCTGCTAGAAGAACTACTGGCTGTGCATTTCACCAACCATAAAGCAGTAATAATGAAGTCGAAACGCAACCTGGAACTTAGCACTACCTATGGGCAATAAAAAAATCAGCCTTATCAGCACTACCTATGAACCATAAAATCAGCATCATCAGCACCACCAGAGCTTCGCCCCAATCAACATCATTCACCACGTGGAGATGTGCCCTTTTTTTTTTTTTTCCTTTGGCAGATATTTGAACTTGTACAGCTGCTCCATAGCTGCCGATACACTGCTTGCCATCACGATAGCTGGAACTGCTGCGCATACGTTAAGTATGTCATTCCGGGCGCCAAATTTCGACAAGGATTATGTCAATGTGCTCCGTAAGTTTCACAGTGCTACACTTCTTCAGCAATTTGTCACAAACAAAAGACCCTGGTCAACCTTGAACGGCCCTCGTGGTTTGGGAATGGACTGGGTTAATGGGCTCATTTATGTCTTAATATTCTCTATGGGAAACGCAGCCATGCAAGACGTCCACAGCGCTGGCTTGGCTAAAATGGTTCGTGGCACCCACTGTGTCACAAAGTGAAAGGAAGTTCTAGCGTACGCAACACCAAAATCATGCGAAAGATGTCCCAAACATTCCGGATGGGGGCCAAGAAACCGACGGACACGACACAGAGCGGTGTCACTCACCCGTGCCTGGCCGCCGAGAGCTGCTGCTGTGTCGCGTGAGGGGGGCCCACCCCGTTTGCCTGCTGCTGCTTCTTGAGGGCACTCTTGCGCGGCAACGCCGAGCTCTGGGGGGGCTCCTTGGCCGGGATCTCCTCCACCAGCGTGGCCCCGTCCCCAACGTCCCCGCTCCCGTCCTCGTCTGCCGGCTGCAGGCGGTCCGCCATCGTGGCCGTCGCCGCGTCGTCATCGTCGTCGTCTTCCGCACCGTTCTCTTCCGAGTAGTGCGGTGGGTGATGATGGTGGTGGTGGTGATGGTGCTGAAGAGGGGGTAGGCGGAACTGGGGTGCCTGCTGCTGAGACTGCTGCGAGTGCTGATGTTGCTGCAGCTGGTGGTGGTGCTGTTGCTGCTGCTGCAGCGGAGACTGCAGCTGCTGCTCTGTGGCGGCTTGCTGCGAGGCAAGCTGCCGGTTGCGCTCCGCCATCGCAGCAAACCGCAGGTTCAGGCTCGAGGCAACTGCGTGAAAGTGGGGCCAAGGTTTTGGCTGCCGTGCAACACGTGGACCTTCTTTCTAGTAAGCTCTCTCCCCCGGCCTTGCTTAGCGCTGCTGCCATTTTCGGAGGGCACTGTCCTGCACAATAAACATATTCAGCAACTATCTTCATGCATATTTAGTTGTTTTTTTTTTTACAATTCTTTAGTGAAGATTGGTAGTATGGGGCATTCAAAACAAAGAGAACCAATAAAAAGAAAAAAACAATGCTAGTCTGTTCCGACTGCAGCGAATGTTGAGCCATCCCAGTGCTATGAAAAAACCATGTGGAACGCGGCCCGCACGTGCCTGTGCTGTTCTCGAAGGTCTATGGCGCACCGTGCATTCACAAGGGCGCCCATCAAACCATTCTGCCAATCTTGGCCGCCAGGCAGCTATGTAGCTGCCTTGCCTCAGACACAATCACATGGTCGTGTCGCCGCGGGGTCGATCGGAATCTCGAATTCAGCTCCCGACGCGCCGCTTTCTCTCCTAGCCACTGGAGGGCGCTGCAGGCACCCCGTGGCGAGCGAGGAAAAACCTTCTCGCCTATCGATCGAGAGATACTCGGTAGGGCAGGGAGCGAGAGGCCCCTTAGAACTTCGGAGGAGACCGAGACGCAGGCAGGTGGATGGCGTCCGGATCTAGGATATCGCGGGACATGAGGCCTGGGGGCCTTCTTTGTGTTTAGCTTTTGGCTTAACCTGCGTTTGTAAATATTTGTGTAATGTAGCTTGTATTTGTAGTTTAGATTGAGTGCTTTGTAGCGTTGTGTTTTATTGTACCAATAAACTGGGAGCGGAATCCCGCTCCCGTGAAAGAACCAGGCTGGACTCGGGTTCTTGATGGACCACGTGGGAAACGGCGAATCGGCAGCGGTACGCGATTTCCTAGAGGTCATGCGACACTCGGGCGGCATTAAAATGGCTTCAACGGGTCATAGCGTTTTTTGCAGTCCATCGTAAGATAGAGCAAAATAAAGTTTCGTGGTACCCTTGAAAAAGAAAAATGTTGACAACAAATTTGTCAAGCTGCCTACGAAACAGCCCCTCGACAAACCCCCTTTGATCCTAAACGCACCAGAATTGTTCGGTTGGTTTAATGTCCCAACAAAGCTATAGACCATTACAACTCAAGAAGGTAGGGCAAGGAAAAGAAGGCCAGAGAAGAGGAAGCAGACTGAACACTGGTAAGCGGAGGAGGTTCACCCTTCTCTCTAGATTTCCGTCTGCTTCTTCCTCTCCAGTCTTCCTTTCCCTCGCCCTACCTTCTTGAGCTGCAACTTAGTATAGTCGCCTCCAAAACATCCATTAAAAGCTCTCTCCGACATGCTAAACTATAAATAGAAGTTTCTACCAAACTTCCAGGATATCAAGTGTTCTGAAATGAACCGTCGTCTACGATTGCCTAGAACGAGATGTTTAAGTAAAGTGACCCAGAACTCAAGTCTTTAAGAACACACCCAAGAAAATCTGTTTGGAACGCAGTCTCCCAAATCACAGCTGTAATTAATAAAGTAAGCGTCCCAGAACATACATGTTCCTAGCAGTGTCCCAAAACACAGCAGCACCCAGAGCTCAAGAAACTGAGGGTGTGGCAAGACCCAAGTACCTCATTATCGCTTCGCAGTTAGTGAGATATGTAGCTGCATTTGCCAACACAATGCTGAAGAGTGAATCACAAAGCATGAACATAAGTGATGAGTGGTGGATTGTCCCAGAACACATACTACGACAATCCACCAGGAAGCACACTTAAAAAGGTTTACGCCCTTACGTAACAAACCCCGCACGTTTGCCTTCCCAGAACAGCTATAGCCAATCATTATGCACTATGCAAAGATCTTGGCCAAAATTCAGAAGGGGTTGGTCCCGAAAAATTAAGTTTGTACTGCACTGCACCGCAGGTAGCATTTTCATGCGAGAATGTTTCCTCCACCTTGTTGTTTGCCTGCCGTCTACGGTCCTTTCGTAAATCGCAAAGGCCAACTACGCCCGCAATTCGTGGAGATAGATGTTGAGGCCCTTAGAAAGAATGCTCAATGTATTATTCCCACACACACAGCAAACCCGGGACAAAGCATGCTGAAATGAACTGTCCCATAGCCTCCTGTTTTGGTGACAATGCATTTATAGTAGAGCCACTGCACACGCTACCAAAAGGTGCAGAACGGTGCGAACCCGAGTGCCTTCTCTGGGCGACAAGCAGCAAATGCTAAGGGTGTTCCAAATGCTCTCAAAACGTGCAAGCGAGAAAGAACTATTTCGCCCAATGCCACACAATGTATACATAAAAACTGCCTCTAGCATTATAAACACACTTTATAAAGTGCCCATATTTCTTTCAGCTTCAAATAAAGGCAAAAGTCTCGTTTCCCATTCAAAACAATCCGAACGTCGTTTTTTCTGCGAGTGGCACGGTGGGCATCGAATGCCCAGACATGCTGAAGGTCACAGTCACACAAAGAGTGAAACCTTCATCCCTGTGACCAGCCCTTACGCTTACTCACTTTCAGTAAAAAAAATTCTCCTAATGCTGTACAAGACCTAGTAAACTTGTCTGCAGCACGCCCCGACACCGAAACGATCTCGTGTGGGAGGAAACCATGCAGCGAGCGCAGAGTCCTCCGAAAATTCTGATACCCGCTTTGCGGGCGAAGGTCACGGGTAAGAAGGCGCCGCCACTGTGATGCACGGAACGCGTCTTCGGCCGACGTGTGTAGCGTCCCGTCCCGCGGACAAGAAGGAAGCGGTCCCAGAGTGGCAACGAATTGTCCATCGGGCAGAAATGGGGGTGCATGCCGCAAGTACATGTCGGGGCGGCGTGGTGCCCGGCACGCTGTAGCCTGCCGCGATCCCAAAAGTCTCGCAGCAGCAGCGATCGATGTGGTTTTAGGCGGCCGCGAGTAACGGATGCCACGCCGCTGCTCTCTTTTTCGTTGGGACTTTTTACGACCAACGGCAGGGTACGCAACGTCCGCAACGTCGGACAGCCCGCTAGACGTGCCGGCCGAAGATGCACTTCGAGTGCCGCGTCGGCATCGACCGCTCCAAAAAATCCGGCCGACGACGGCCAGTCCGACCATTGCGCTACTGTGCTTCCTTCTTCGGGCCGCGGTCACACTACCGACAAGTTGTACAAAGACGGCCTGCAGGCACCGCCCGAGATGCGTTTCTTCCTCGTGGTGGTTGTGGAAAAACTCTCAACACACGCTTGAAGCATACGTACGTATGAAAACGTGTCCGCAGGCATTTCTGTCGTGTATTCAGCAAAGTCTCTTGTACAACATGCGAGCAGGGTGACGGCGGCTCTGGAGGGCGTAATCGCGGCAGTAGATTATACAGTGAATATAGGCGCCCCTTTGCCCGACGACAGACTACGCGGAGGGGGCGAGTCCACTGACCTTCGGCGAAACGCAGGCCCAGCGTGGGCGAGGGATTGGAGAACATGGGCGGGGGCGGGATGGGCCCGATCTCGCTCACTGCTATAGGAGGCTCTGGCAGCGCGGAAAGGGTCAGCATCTCCAGCCCGGTTGGGGCCCCCACGGAGAGGGGGGGGCCGGGCACCCCTCCCTCCCCCCGCTCTACACCTCCTCCTCCTCCTCCGCTGCCCGGGGTGTACTCCGCCACGTGGAGCGAGCTCATGTCCAGGAGGATCGGGGGTGCCGCTGGTGGGGAGTGCGTGGAGTAGACCGGAGAGGAGAGGAGGAAGCAAGAGAGAAAGAGACAGGCAGGGAGGGAGGGAAGGAAGCAAACGCTGGTGTCAGCAGTGAGCAAATGCAGAACACAGCAAACAAACAAACAGACGATGCAACCAGGCAACAGTCACGCAAGCGGGCTGAGCGAAAGATTGCCTCGGAAAAGGCTTTTCTTTTTTTGGTTTCAGCAATGGCAGAAAGAATTTCAATTGCAAGAAGAGTGTCTCTGCAACTCGAACATCATGCCACAAATTTGTTACATTTCCATAAAAAAAGTTGCCCTATAAAGAAGAAAATGAATATTAGTGAAAAGGTGAAGCAAAGTGATACATGTACTTCAAACCTTTTCTTTTTTAAAGTTATTTCTTGAGAACAATATGCTTTTTCTATGGTCAACTTCCTTCTAAACAACATGGACAAAAACAACCGAGTTGGTAACAGCAAACTTAACTTTGGGCATTAAAACTTCCATATCTAATACAAACAAGCTGTAGTACTACAGAGGCATAATCTGCATGCCAAACTTGAGCTAGACCATAATTCAGGTTCTGATTATCTCTGATTATCAATAGTATACACTATGAATGAACTTTCTTACATTCATTGTATCAGCTTACATCAGTCAGGCTTTAGGGTGTTGGTTTTGAACCCTCAAACCACTTGGCAGCTAGGCTCTATTTCTTCCTTACTTTGCTAACCTCCTGACCTTGCTGAAACCTTTCACCCTTGCATGCCATTTACCTCTCAAGAGTGGGTTGCGAGATGCTTGATAACTTGTGGAGGCATTCCAATGATGCACAAATGATGGGCAGGTAGTAACTGAACATTCCTGTTTCAATGTTTTGGAATTTCCCTACTACACACAGCGACAACTTTTCTTGGCAATGCAGTGGAGAGGAGGAGAGCTTCCACACAGCTTTATTCAGCACTCAAAATGGGAGAGGGAACGCGCAGCTGTACCCTCCACTGCATTGCCAAGAAAAGTTGTCGCCAAGTGTAGACATATTCTTCAGTGTGCAAGCAAAAAGCTGAAAACATGTGCTCAAAGCAAATGTGTGATGAACTGGATGGCGGAGACAAGCGTGCACACACGTGTGCAGAAGTCAGAACTGAAGGGAGCAGGTTCAAAGCCAATTGCGAAAAGCTAAGGATACTCTTTCCCAATTTAGAATTCATTAGAAACACAGACGTAACAGGCTTTTTACAGGACATTTGCACACTTCATGCTAACAGCTCGAAGAAAATATGTCTAAGTGAGAGATAAGATAATACAAACATAAGACAAAGTATCAGAACATGCCTACTCTTTTCACTAAAAGGTGAACACACGTGATGTCTGGAAAGGTGACCCACTATTCATAAACATCCCCCAATGTAACCCAAGCATAAATGTTTACTAAATCTACCAACTCTTCAGGGGGATCAACGAAGAAGAGCTCAAAAACTTTATTAAACTAGTGCCAGATGTTGTATCCCTAGCCGGTAAGGTAATCTCCTGTCTCTATTTTGTGTTGCAACTATGAGACACAAAACCCTACTTGCAGAAAAAACTATTGTAACCAATAACAAGGACCTATCAACGCACCAATTTAAGTGAAACTAAGCCCCTACCTAGGATTTGTGTGGCTTTTAGCCACCACTATTTCTGCATTCTGTACAGCTACATGAACCAAAACATTACATTTTTTTTCCAGATTTTAACGGGAGGGAAAGCAGCAAACAACACAAACAACGTTTCTAAAAAATAGGATAGACTAGCGTGAAAAAAACATGATACTGTCAATGAGATAATGCCCACTCGAGTCGCAATTTCACTGCAAGCGTCCCACGTCTACAAGAGGATCAGCAAATAATTCCATCGAGCAAACTTGCCCTGGGAGCAAAAAGGTGTATGACTAAAAAAAGCATGCTGGCACAAGGTATCAAATCTTCATGTCCAGAAGCATACCAGCAATCATCATCGTGCTTGAAAAACCGAGGTCATTTGGGACTCGGTACTCGCTACACCACAAGGACACATAACCAACTCAACCATGGAACACCGGTGCTTTAACACTCACACATGCAAGGAGGGAGCACAGTTTTACGCAGATCTTAAAGACACAGCACTCAGGCTTTAGAACCTGCAATCACGTCCCAGTGCCAAGACAAGGTCAACAACACACGGTACCTGCACATTGGTCGGGACTACAAACTGGGCGTAAACACTGGTGACCATCGGCATAAGCGAATCGCCGAGCGACGCAAGAGTGAAATTAAACCATGAGACAGAGCACATCGGTTGCAACAGGAAGCATACTTCCATTGGACATCGTAGATCACACTTTCGCAATGTTACCTAGTAAAGGAAGTTGCGTAAACTGTACAAAACAGCAAAGAGTGCTGCCATTACTGCTTTCTTTATTTGGGGTGATGTCGAATTTTTGTCACTGGCTGATGTTTACCGTGCTCCGTATAAAGCTTAGGACGGACCGCAGAGGACGCTACGAGCCGTCGGAGCCAGTCCGATGTCGTCCGAAAGTCACGCAATCTCCGGGACGAGCGGAGATTGCGTGACTACTTGGCAAGTAGTCTTGTGATACGTTTGCAGCGCTGGATTGGCTGAGATCGTTCCTGGAGTCTGCCGCGGTCCGCCGTAAGGTGAAACGGAGCGTAGATTAAACAACCGCCAAAAACGCCGTCCGTCTATCGAGTATAGTCTCCGTCATCACATGGGCCTGACGCAATCTCCTCACATTCGGTACGCCCTTCACATATATACACATGTGGATCGCACAAAGCAGCAGACACTGCCCGTTTATGTACAGACACATACCTGCTGTGGAACCCGTCTCTGTGCCCGCGCTGTCGTTTTTGGGCGAGGATATCACGGACCCACTATTGTCTGACCCCCCGCCGGTGGGAAGGACTCCGTTGGCTTGGGGATGGTGGGAGGGGGAGCCGTCTGCAATCATGCCGCGACAAACCACATGCAACACACCGGGGGAAAAAAAGGTGCGAGGCGACTTTGAGAAACCTTCAAGCACGGAACGTAGGTCTTCGGGGGTAGACGAGAGATGCTAAGGATACAACCGATGGGCTTGGTAGTAGTCTAACTGAGAACAGAGGAAATCGAGAGAAGGCAGCATTCCGTACGGAATGCGGAGCAAAAGGCGGAGAAGGCAGAGTCGAAGGGACAGAAAAACAGTTTCGAAGTGGAAAGTAAAAGGCTTAGGGAGAAGTTTTAAATAAGAGAAGAACAAAGCGTTTCGAAGCAATGAATGAAAGCTTGAGTCGGAATGTTCGCAAAGAGGACGACATCATCGCTCTCCACATCTCAAAAATATTTTCCAACTTCGTAGATTGCGGTAGAACGGTACGTAACCCAGATTTTCAACAATTGGATAATGAGCGGTTGAGGATCACTAAGAAAAACAATGTGTTACTCAAGAGGGTGTACCCGCTACTTCCAGAAAAAACCGGAACATCCCGCTAAGCCTAACCCCACTTGAGCTACAAGGAATGTCCCAATACTGCGACCCAAGGGTACTTACGCAAGTGACAAGTCACCAGAAAAAGGAAGGCGTCAAGAGGAAGAGCAGAGGAAAAGCAGCAAAGCGCGCCAGAGCACGAGAGAAGAAAAGTAGAGAAGAAAGAAAAAAAGGAAAACCTGGCAACGACGCCACAAACGTCTCGTAGTCCTCACTTTCAATAGCAGCAATGCGCGCACACACACACACACAAAAAAAAATGCCTCGACCCTACCCAACTGTTGGAGAGGCGCGATGGATGCTTCAAAGCACACGGGTCCAAAGCAGCGCTGAGAGAGAACTGCCACCCAGCGGCCGGTCAAGATGCACCCACCATTACCACAACAGAGCAAATTAAGCGTAAAGCACAAAGAACGCACGCGAGGAAAACAGCCGACAGGACGGACCTCAGAAACTGGAAAGGAGACACGTCGTCGTCGGAATCTGCAGCCTCCCGTCGCCAACCGCGGTCGGAATGAGAGGAGCGTAGAGAGAGAGAGAGAGAGGGGCCGGCCCACTCCCCCCCAAAAATAGCCCAGTGAGTCAAGGTAACTAGGAGAGTGGGGGAGGGTGAGAGAAGGGGGGGAGGCAGGTTCATTTGTGGAATGAGGGTGCTTAGGAGGGGAGTTGAGAGAGATGGTCGGGGTGGGTAGTGGGCAGCACGAAAGAGGGAAAGGGGGGCGAGCCAGTGGCCCCAGATGCTCGTCTTTAGGGGAGACATTAGGGAGAATGCGGGGGCTGTTGCGTTCCACGCACCGTGTCGGGGTTGCTAGCCCCCGCTAGTATTTAAAGAGAGTGGGGGTTTGCAGACACCTCTCCACTCTAATTTTGTTGAATGTGCCTGGCATTTAGTTTTCGTCTTTGACCTGGGACGTCTGCCCGAAACTGGGCGGCCACGTGAAAACGTGGATTGACGAGAACCATGCGGTCTAATTCTTCATGAACGAGATGGAGGCACATTTGAGAAAGACGAACGTCTGTGTGATAATGAGACGTAGTGGGTCAGGACGCAGCAAAACACACTGCAGAAACAATGGTACGGTGATTTTGTCTGTTTTTTTATGTTTCGAATCTTTTCACGGTAGCATAGAATATTTTAATTAGCTGTGCCCATTAGATTTGCGACAAGTAACTCACAAGTAAAAGATAGAATGAACAAAAGTTCTATCCCTCAAGAATTATAAGAAAAAAAACAAAAAACCCGAGAGTTTATTTATTTTGCCAGTCGTGAATCTACGCCCAACTTCAGAGTTCATGGCGCAGCTTGCTCAAGCGTTCCGCAGCACTCGTGCTGGCAAACGCCCAGGCTACATCTTTTGTTCTCTTCTGAGCTGTCGCAACATTTTTCCAAGTGTTCTGGCGGACCGAATGGCTGCAAATCGAGTTGCCCAAATTAGAAGCAACACAACGCTAAGATATGTTTGTAAGAAAAAAAGTCCCTTCTCCTGAATTTTTGGTATGTCTCAACCTGCTAAACATTTCGCAGTGAGGCCGAATGTTTTTCGCCTCTCTCTGCTTATGCTCGTCGACGGCAGACGAGAATAAACCGACCTTGCACAAGCTTTGGGCGATGGGAAGGCACACAGCGGACAGAAAAGGCTTATGTCGCAGCTGCAGTTTAAAAGGGACGAGAGGAACACCTCCTCCCACCTCTTCCAAACTGCAGGCCAGCCTTTAACCTGGCAGCACATCTGCCTAATGCTACCAGCCTCACGGGATCCAAAGCAGGTGTGCACACTCCGCTTCAACTTACGACAACCTCCGCGATCAATCGTAAGGTGGAACGGAGTATAGTGGATTGGCCAGCCGGACTTCGCGGGTTACTTGTATTAGTCCAGGCAGACAGACACCTTCACCAAACATTCAAGCCACCTCGAAAGACAGGGTCCTAGAGAGGCACAAAAACACCCGGTTACATGCAAACAACATGCAACCGCGCTCCAGGCCCCAGCGGGGCTACGAACGGACCTCGAGCCACCGAATAAGTGACACTTAGGGTATCAACACTCTTGGCGCAGAGCAGGCTTAATTGGCGATTGTTACGATTTGAAGATGAGACTTCCAGAGTTTTAGACTAGGGAGCTCGGGCAACACTGTTCTACTCTGTTGCGGACTGTTCCGACACATCCGGAGGATGGAAGACCGTCTCGTGCAATTTGGGACAAAGTTTTGGATATGACGGCGACGACAATTTCGAGTAGCAAGACGGCAAAAGTTGTGGTACCCTGGAACCTAGCTTACTCGGTGGCCCCGGCCAGACCGGCCGTCCCAGCTCACCTTTCTGACTGGGACTGCCGAGTTCCCGGTCAGAGAGCAGCACCCCCCGCTGTATGAGCTCTTCCTTCGTTGCTCGCATCGATATCTTCCGCTCCAGGGCTAAAGGGAAGACCAAAGTCGGTTCGTCACTGAAAGTAAACACTCGACAAGATACCTGCTAAGCGCCTTTGTCAGAGGCCTAGATTTTCATGAGTTCTTAAGGATCGAAGAGACCTGTTGTTGCGAACAAGAAAGTTAGTTAGGGCAGTCCTTTCGTAGCAAAAGCTAAAGTGTCAAACGACAGGAACGCAAGTTTGATTTTAAAGCTAATTCGATAGATGCCTGTTTTGACCACACATTGTTTGTTCTGTTAACACGAGTGTTCGTTTTTCTCAAAGCAGTAACGGTGTGAACGTTTCGTCCTGGATTATGCAACCTTCCTTTTCGGTAAAATTAGTATGATTCTTAGACATAAAACTTGCGAAGTATCTACTCAAGTAAAACTAGACTGGATATCTAAAAAAACCTGTCCTTTTTCAAGAAAGCTCAAGAGGTTTTAAGATGTCTAGGCAAAACTCTTAGGGCACAGTGTTAAAAAAAAAAACAGGGAACAGGAAGTTAGGATTGTTCATACTGCGAGAGATTTTCCTTTTAAGATGCGACGACACTGGCTACAGGCTGTAGGTGGGCAATTTAATGCAGTGTACTAGCCTCATCACGCTCTTAGCTGCGGTGCGGCACATAAGCAGCTGGTCAGCAAGGACCAGTCGTGAGCCAGCCGCAGCCCTGCTTAGTGCACCAACACCGATAGCAGGGGGGGGGGGGTCTGGTCAACCTAGCTTTCTATTTGCTGCCCAATCACTTCATCTATCTCACTTCTTAGCTCCAACCTGCCATTGACAGTAGCGAATCGGAATAGCTCGCTTAACTCTTTCGTGACCGGCAGGCGTGGAGACCCATTTCAAAACTCCCGAAAAGTTCTTGAGTTTGCTGTGCCATCTCGTGGGTAGTTTGAAAAGTGCAGTTTTGTTTTCTGTGTTTCTCTTCCCCTTTCCAAACGACAGTGATTTTTAAGCTGAGTGTAACCCTAATGACACGTCGCCGTTTGTGACGGCCACGGCTGCTTTCACGGGTCTGGCACACACTCGCAAACGACGCAGTCCTTGGAAATCCTCTGCCTATTTTTTTCGGACTTGAATAGCAAAAGGGGGTCTGATGATGAAGCCAGATCATGTTCCAATTCTGACAACCTGTGCTTCACCACATTGTGGAACTGATTAGCCCAACGGCATGCCCGTCATGACGGTTCACTTGAGGTTTGGAAAATGAAAATCTTTTTGCGCTAGAACTCTTGTTTTTGCTTTTTTGTCGTAAAAATAGAAAACATTTTGTAAATTTTCATTTCTTTTTTGCTGCTTTTTTTTTCTAAAGATATAGCCATACCTTTATCTAGTTTGAACCAATACTTGGAAAACAGTTGTGTTTGACGATATAAATATTGCATTAAAATTCAAATCTCTGCTTTGATATTTCCATAGTTCAAAAGCCCATTTATTTACTTCATTTTTCTGTAAGGCATCATTTGTAAATTTAATAGTTTTTTCGCAAAAAGATTGTAACAAAAAGCAATGCAAAGCAGGCATTTTCCCCTGGCAAGGAGAGAGTTAATTGAATTCTGACCCAGAGATTGTGCCATATTTTTTGCACAGGTCCCCAACTATTTGCTATTGCATTTTACAATTCTAGTACAAACATTTTAGGTGTTGTTTTATTCTGTATACAACAGTTATTTTGTCAATATACTATCAATATTTTAGCATTCATTTCCATTTTTTTCCTCTTATATAACATTGTTCCTTTACATAGTGCATGTATGCGTCACCGAGATCTTTTAAATGCAGATGATTGATATGGCAGAGACTAGCCCAGCCTCTTCCCATCCCTCCTTTTCTCATTGAAAATGCATCTTTCTTTTGTCCTTTTAGTTGCAAACAGGGTGCACGCAAAAGTAAGTTGTGGACTGTTAAAGCAGCCAATAGCAGCATTTTTTTTAAAACCCAATTAGCTACCTTCAAGGCTTACGAACCTCCTAAAAGCCTACTAAACATATTCTCTGCAACCCTATAATCCTTCCCTGATTTGTTTCATTAAGGGGAAGAGAGGAGGAAGAGGAATATCAGTCACATAAATAAACTTGTGTATAAAATAAAAAGAATGTGGCACATGTCAGCAAAAGCCGATTCCTCTTCTCTGTTTTACGAACGTGAAGCGTGCATTTCAAAACCTGGTTAGGCGAAGTGAAGAAAGACCGTTTCGCAGTCTCTTAAAAAAAAATACTGAACCTAGGGACTACTTGGGTAAAACAAAAATATAAAGAAAGAACATTGTGCCCAATATTTATGTTACAATCCGAATTTTTCGATTTGCAGGCGAAACAAAAAGAGTACTCCAGTGGGATGATGAGTGCACACTCTGAGGTCCAGCGAACTGAGATTGCACACTAGTTGGGTACAAACGCTATCATTATCATCCCACAGGGGTAATTTCGGTTTCGCCCTCATATCAAAAAATTCACATTGTAACATAAACATTGTGCCATTTTTTTTCGACACACATTTGTTCTGAGACATGCTTGCCCTAACCAGGTAGAAAAAAAAAAACATTTTTTTTTATAGGTTTAGTGTTTCCTTTATTGGCTGGTCGACAAATCTGCATTTGAGTGCGATCAACTGCATAGGAACTGCTCGCAATCGCTTACGACAAGAAGACGGCGCACTGGAGCCATCTCTTGGGCAGCTCTGAAACCCTTTAGATCTGCACACATTTCAAGCATCCTTCCTCCGCGGTGTGCTCGAAAAAATCCTCACAATGCTATAAGAAACTGGGGTTACTTGACACATGGCACCACTGTGCTCTCTTGCATGTGGTTGCGACGCAGTCAAACACACCGAAGTACAAGCTCGCGAACGGGCCGGTAGAAAGCATCCCCGCTTCGACCGTGCCCGCAGAGAGGTCGTCCCCACTCACTGCGCGAGGTCTGCTCGAACTTGTCGCTCTTCTTTTTCCGCTTCCACTTCCAGGGCTTGAAGAGGCGGCTCAACGTGGCCAGCCGGCTGGCGTGTTTGCTCACTTCCACCACAGGCCCGCTGGAGCCCATGCCGGGATTCGGCGCCCGCGAGTTGGAGCCCAAGGAGCCCGTCCTCATGTTACTGTTCCCGCACTTTGGACCTGCGAGTGCACGCACCTATCGTAAGAATCTCTCTCTCTCTCTCTCTTTGCTTCAGGCAGGGTGGGAGGTTTTGACAAAAAGTTAAAAGTTGATGCTGCAAACCAACAAGGTACGAAAACAGAGCTGTAAACTAACCACTTAAATGCATTTAAATTAGTATACCCAGGTCCAAATGCAGGAATTACTAGAACACTTTCTAAGGTAGAACAACATTCGGGTGACAGTAACTTGCTACGGGCGTCTGATTCCCTGACCTTTAAGGAAACATACCCATACCAAAAGGGAACGAGAAAAGTTGCTTGGCTCCGAAGAACAAGGTAGCCCTGCAGACGGTTCGATGCGGGGTGTGTTCCGGGTTGACGCGAAATAAAGCTCTAGATGAAAAATTTTCTTCCCGCTAAGGTTGAGTTTTTCTTATTTTAGGTCAGTCCCGATTTGGGTTCCTTTAGGTCTTCCGTGATCTCAACAAAACTAGCTCAGGGTGGTGGGTGATTAACTTTTGGGGCGTATCGGTATTTACCGAAAGAACATTGCACCCTACTAGTAACTTAATTGTTGACATATACACAAGCATGCAATATTTTAGCCATAGCACCGATGCAGCGTCTCGTCACTGTCGTAAGCGAATGGGGAGGGGGGGGGGGGGGGGGGGGGGGCAAAATTTAAATGGAACTGCGGCACTATCCCATATATATAGGAATAAATGAAACTAGATATATTTGTAACCTAATTAAGGTAACAAACTCTATTATATTTTCAAGGGTGCCTTTTGCAACCCTGCTGAAGCAAGTGTCATATTTCCTTCTTGAGCGATGGAAGCACCAAATATTGGATAACTAAAAAATACATGCTGTACAAACTGTGAATTAAAACAATTGATTGTTAGCATTTAAACTTCCTGGCGATTCCAGAAAAATTTTTCTTTGCTTTCTACAACGTGCTTAGTACTGATTTTTTGGAAACAGTGCCCAGCCACTTCCTATGGGAACCAGAGCCACATGTGGGTCGCTCAAATAGCGAGGTGACAGCAAAAAAGAAAGGCGAGACCATTATTGCACAATAACGTCAACCTCCCTAACAATCCTTCTATTGCATAGCAATTTTCTACTGAAAACAAGGATTGTATGTCTTTTTATAAAAATACTTAGACAGGTTTAATCGATTTTCTGCATGTTCCTGGTGAAAAACCATAAGATGAAAGCCAGGATACATTATCCACAACTGGTCCATCCAGCAAGCAGTGTCTGGGCTTTGCATGTTCATCATTGTCAGTCTGCTTTGTCTTCGATCCATTCGCAGCAGTGTAATGTTACGACCCATATAAAGACTGATTCTTAAGATGTAGTCAAACTTCCCTAGATGTTTCTCTAGATTGGAGAGAAAAATCAGGGGGTCCACAGAGATGGGTGGGTGTAGAGCTGTTCCAACATCATCTAATCATGCTTGTCAAGCGAATGCAGTAAATGCTATACAGACAGGCTTACTAAACTATTCAATATTATTTATCTGTCCAAGTATCCCCAAATGCAAAGACATATGTCAACTTCTTCTCTATGTATATACTCATATGTAAAAAATGCACGGCGATGGGAGAGAGCACTTGCAACAAATTCTTGGCACAATCTGGAAGTGAATGTAGTCCCGTTCCCACAACGGCAAGCAGCAAATATTCAACATGATACACATTGTAAGGTCACTAAAACTACTGTAAAATACCAGGGGAGCACCCATCACTTTCAATGAAAACCGGATTAATCTAGACCTGGGCGATTGTCCGGTCGAACCAGGTGCTTAATGTATAATTTTCAGCATTCTCAAGTTTGGAAGACGTTAATAATGGGCACTTGAATGAAGTGGGCACTTCGGTGGTATTTTACGGTAGGAAAGAAACAGCCACGTATGAAGTTCAAACATTCTAAAAATAAGTATCAGTACTTGACATACCTCCAGCTTTACTGAACTGTGAACTCCGTCGTCTCTTTTGTGTGTTGCGACTAAGCTCCTGAACGCCTTTGTTCCACAGGCGCATCTTTCTGTGTCTTTTGTTCGACATGGTTTGCCGTGTTTCTCGAGTTTTTATCTTATTTTTTTTTTTAACAAGACAAAAGACTTAGTCAGACGTATCTCTTTCCAACTGTATGAAAACCTGTAAGAGTGTAGAGTTTGTTTCATATACAGCAAACTAATGCTTCAAAAGGCATGTTACCTTGATGTTTAGGTGATCTGTAGTGCACTTTAGAATTAGCAGTGTGCCGAAAACTCGAAGCTAACCGATGCAGCAAGGGGAGATGGGCTGTTGGACCTCAGCAGTGTGAAACTGGTAGCAGAGCTTGAAAAAACCAACCCTATTTTCTATTCTCAGAAACACAGAGAGGGTAAAAGTTTGTATCTTTCTTTTTTTTCTCTGTTGGAACGACACATGACAAAAAATGTATTTAAAGTAGAGGTGCGAGTAGCAGTTCAAATCAAATGGCGGTGCATTAATCGCAACCTTCAAGTGTGCTAAAAAAAAAAAAATCTGCATATTATTATTTTTTTTTGTGTGTGTTGAAGTTAGGGATGACATTGGACTTGGATTTGAAACAGCCTTTGTACACCTCTAGAACTCTAGTAGATACTTCAAAGCCTGTGCTCTGTATATCTACGGACGGGAGAAGCCTTTCCTGCCTGAAGACCCAGCAAATTCTTAAAACAAACCCACAAAACATTAAAAAAAATATAATTCCGCAACAGCGTGACGCACCGAAGGGTGCCTCCATCGTTTTCTTCAAGTGTTATACGAACGTCAGGAATGAGTCGGGACAAGGAGGAACAACAGTAGTCACGTCACGTTTCTCGAAATACGTCACCTCGATATCGCCGTATAAAAAATTACTCCGTTTCAAGCGCCAATCATCCTTCGCGATGCGTTCAATCTAAATGAATACAAATCAAAATAGATCAATACAACGCGCACCATTCCCAACCGATGATGTTAACACGAACATTGACAGAAGTCATACAAATTTAGCAACTACGAACAGATGAATCATCTTCGCAGCCACTTCCTTTCTAATCTAATTTATCCGGCTCGACAACACGACGTGACCTCGGATGTTCAGATGTGCGCGTGTATGCCCCGACGGAACTCGGACCAAAGAGATATTATGAAGCCACCAGCACTTATTGTTTTCAACCACAACGAAACGTTGTCGAAGTCGACCAATCAAGTTGTATCGTTCATCGCAAATTACGTCTGTACAAAAAATTCTCTCGTGGAAATAGCACGGGTGAAGTCGCCCAGAGAAAAGATCATTGCTCTCGGCAGACGACGTGACGGACGAGTTTAAAGTAGCGGAGAGTCGACAGGAGTAATGTCGTCTGCGAACTTGAAAGCGAGGCGCTGTCTGCGAGCATATGAATCGTACCGGGGAGTGGCTAGAAAACATCAGCAAGAAAAACGGCGCCGTACACAGTACGTGCGAACAAAACGGTCACCACAACACGAGTTCGAGGTCGCGTAAAGAGAATTCGTCACAGTTTTCTGAACATCACTCACTCACCTCGCAGGCTGAACGCGCTACGGCTTCGGGAAACCTTAGAGCGACGCTCGCCCATGACCAAACGCTCGTGGCGAAGTCGTCGACGGCGGTCGGCGACCGGCTACGGTTACGGTCCGACGCCATTTCTCATCGCGCAATCCAGAACCCCGGTCGAAAACGACGAGGAACCGACGGTAGACGCTGCGTTCGACGACGCAAGAACGACACCCTGCCAGCACGCGATCACACACACACACACGTCCAACGCGCAGGCACTCGGCAAAGAACGATGATCCTGTGCGAACGCTAGACGGTCCTCGCCCATACGGCGGCAAGTCGACAGTCAAAAACAAACAGAAAACATATAAATACAAATTAGAAGAGAGGAGGAAAGAGCGGGTCACGTGACGCTCTGCGGATTCCGCAGAGAGGGCGCGGCGAGCGCAGCGTCGGACAGAGATGGCGGCCTCCGCGAAGGGACGTCGTCTGCTACGATTTTGCTGCAAGACGTCCGTTGCTTTCCATGCGGAAAACGTACGCGCCGCCGAGAACACCCAATTTTCTCGGCGCTCGGAATAGAAGCATACGCTTTAAAGCCTATAAGCTCACCGCTTTAGCGTGCTTGCTCCAACTACCGCGGTCACTAAAAAAAAATAAAAAAAATGAAAGGCAATTGGAATTTAGCTCGCTTCACGATCCCAGACGCCATGTTAACGCCTGGCACGCGAAATAAATGCCAGCATCGGATATGCAAGGAACATTACAGACGGAATATATGGACTAGGCTAGACGAATAAAACAATGCTTGCATGATATGTCCGCCTTTCAATGCATGTAAGACATCGAAAAAAAAAAAAAAAGACCTAAGCGCAGTCGTAACACACACAAACACAAAGCGGAAAACTGCAAACAGACACATTAACAAAGCTAAACCCAAATTCACAGGAATAGTAAAAACCAGCGAGCGATGCAAAGCAATCGTAACGGAACCGTCATGGCTGACTCAAGGTCACGGCCAAGCGGAACACGGACCTAACGCGCATGCGCGCACAAGGGGACAGCGTGAATCTAGAGCAGCTTTTTTTTTTTCAGCTACGCGCGCTCGGCTTTTTTGTTCTTCGTAACGACGCACGGAACCAGACCAAACAAAGAAAGCAAAGAGGGGGGGAAACCTTCACATTAAACACGCTCCGACTGCAACGCGGGCGCCGGACCATTAAACCGTTAACTGTCCAATTAAAACGAACACTGCGCCGCCAAAGCTCTCTAGAAGAGACAGAAACATCCCACTGTCCACGAACCATTAGGGAGTTTGCGATAACGAATCAGGGAGCACGTCTTTTTCTTTTTGTTCCTCAACAAATCGCTGTTTGTTCCTCAACAAAGTTCCCTGATGATATACGATTCTAATTAACGACTTCACAATGGAACCACACCGCTCGTTTAAAAACTGCGAAAGATCACCACCTTCAAAACAGAAAGCGAAATAAAGAATGTTGTTAAAAAAAAATAAAAAAAAAAAACAGAGAAAAATAAATAAATAATGCAAGTTGCTGCCAACGAACTGGCAGAGAAGAGACGGGAGGAGCGCTCGACCGTACCGAAATGTAAAAGACGCTAGCTACCCCTCCCAAACCGTGCTCCGGCCAAACAACTGTCATACCATTTGTTGTTGTTTTTATTACGCGTGACAGTTTTGCTTTACAACGCGTTGAGTGGGTGCTTAAAGCGTAGAACCAGAATAAGCTACAAAAGACTTCTTCGAGACACGCCTCAACATTTCCGAACAAGGAAAAAAACAAAAACATTCTCAGCACATCATCCTGGAATTTCAGACGGTCCTGTCATTTCCTCGTTCAAAAATTAGGAAAAAAGAGTTTTTTTTTTTCCTCGAGTGTATTCTAACGGTACAACTACGCCCATAAACTACCACCCCCGCCCACAAGTAAAATGAAACACATAAAACAGACAAATGAGGTGCTCGCCATCGTTTTTCCAGAACATCTGCAAGTTGTTCTCCCGCCTCTTTTTTTTTTTTTTTTCTTTTCCTCACATCTTTAAAACAAAGTAGTGCTTGCTTCTCAACTTTTTGTATTTCATTCGGGCATTCATTCTCTCATGAGGACGCCAGCACCGAGTCAAATCATTACCACGGACCATTTGAGCAGAGACCGTGACTAGCCTGTCTGCAAAAAAAAAAAAGTTTACGCGCGGCGCAGGTACCCTTCGAACCCCAGCAACATTGTGTCACAACACGTGGCGACCCCTGGTGCGAGAAAGCGAGACTACACTCGCGCGCGCCAGTGGCGGCACCTAGGGGGAAACTGGCGAAACACAACAAACTCGCCGCAATATTCTTTTTTTTTTTAGTGCGGTTGCACATTTGACTGGTTGGGTTGACGCGTCCAAACTTAGAACAGGCAACGGGGAAGCACGCGCGTGCGAAAGGCGGGTCCGATTTGGATTTCTCGCTAAGTTTGCGCAAGTTTTGCCTTCGGCAACCCACCGCCGACGGACAGCCGCGTGTCTGCCCCAAGTGAGCCCGCGATGGCAGCTATCTTCAATGGCAGGATGAAAACGGCAAGCAGGTATTTCAGTTCGTCTCGCCTCGAGCGCAAACTTCCCACCGCCAAGAGCACTCCGGCGTGTCTCGTGAGGCAGTGAGCGCGTGCTAGATCACCGGGGATCCAAAGGAAAAGCCCTAATCCTGCCAGTGAATATCCTAATAAATAAAATAATTCTGGCACTCACTAGCTCAGGTCGCTTCCTACAAGGAGAGTGTCAAACACCCAGCTGCGTGCTCAAAAAAATTAACGCCTAAAAAAAATGAGACAAGATGTCATTTGAAACCCTGAAACACGGAGGAAATAAAATAACGGAGAAGACGACTACACGGAGTCGAAAAGTGACTACATAAGCCATTTTCTTAAAAAAAGAAAGAAAAAATAATAAAAACGAAGGTTACATTTGCAGGAAAGGCGAACGCTTTGTTTTAAGTGACTTGGGTAACAGAAAGCGAGCCCGTATTACTGAAATTACAGTTAGAATATATCTTCAACTTCCGTTGGCAACACGGACTTCCTTAAGCGTCCTATGCTGACGGTTAACGCGTAAACAATACTCAGAAGCGCCAATTACAACTTATCGAGAGTGCCAAGCTGTCTTTCTCAGCGAGCCATCCGGCGCTTTCGAGTCACGTGCAATATGAATTAGTGCACACGACCTCGATTAGGTTCTGCGCAAAAACAGATGAAGAGGGAAAGGGGGCAATGTGACGCAACACATGGCCGAGTCAGTTACAGTCCCCGGTCATAATCGCGTAATTAGGCGCATAATTTGGCAGTAAACGCTAATGAACGTCCGTGCTCTCTATTAGATAGTCGGGCGTGTGGCTTTGGCCGCGAGTTACAAGACATGCGTGGAATGTTGGGCGCAGTAAAGTTGGCGCAACGTCGAACCCCGGCATGGGCTCCAACTGTGTCATGCTCGCGAGAGGTTCGTCCCATATTAACTGTAAAAACAGACCTGTCGAAACGGGGCTTGTTAACAAACTCTCATACTACAACACGTGTTAACTAACCCCTTAACGCGGCCACTACAAAACGTGATTCGGAATAAGTCGTCTGTACTGCGTGAGAATCTTCGGATGTCGCCAAAAAATCGACTTTGACGCGTCGGCGTCAGTTACGTTGCGAGGCCTCTTTTGTTGTAAAAAACTTCAAGAAAACGACAAATAGTTGAAGCTCAACAACCCCCTCCCCCCTCTCTCCTTTCTTTACCTCATTAAAAAGAAACAAACAAGGAAGCAACCAAAGGAGTGAACAACCGAACAGTGCGAGCTGCAAAAAAAAAAAAAAAAAAGAAGTGCATAGAAAAAGAGACTAAGAGAAAAAGAGAATAACAAGGAAACTTGGAGGGACAGGACTAAAGACAGAAGGCAAGCCAAAAGGGCAAGATTGGAAAGGAGACGGAAAAATTTATAAAACGGAGATTGCCGTATTAAAATGAAACAAGTTCGAGAAAGGCAACATACTCCGCCTCATCGAACGATGAACCGTAGCCGACGCTACGCGCCATACAAGTCAATGGATGGATGCATGGTCGCCAACGGCTGCACCCTTGCTCGACCCTTTATTAAGGGGGGTAGCTTGAGCAGTAACGTTGGCTTGAGCCACCTAGCTTACGACGTGATGGTGGTAATGATGACGATGCGGATTCTGTCTTTGTCGATGCGGATTCTGTCTTTAAAGTTTAAAGGAAGTTATAAGTGATTATGAGAATCTTTCGCCACCAGGGTTTCAGCGTATACCTGGATGGATACCGATGAACACTTTCGGCCGGGTGCGGCGCTCGCGCCACCTATAACCGAACGTTCCTCGTTATGCTCCTTCAAAAGGGGAGCATAGTTGCGCATTTGTTTTCCCCGCGCCGCCACGCCGCTATTCGCCGAGATCTATCATGTGAGGAGCAAAGCATACGGCGCCGTGCAAGAAAGCCACCTTTACGGTCGCTCCGCCGACGTTGTTCGCGCCCCGGCGTATGCTCCCGTGCTTTAGCCTTCTCCTCTTTTACTAATTTCCATTCGCGGCGGCGCGCGCGGCGCCGCTATTCGCCAAATTTAGTCACGTGACGAGCAAAGCATCCAGGGCGCGCAGGAAAGCCGGCGCTACGGCCACCCGCCGAGACTGAATGCGCAACTCTGCTACGGTAGGTAGCTATATACAGGAACTCTACTATAACCAAATCTTGTAAATCCAACCATTAACTACGAATAAACTTTGATTCAATGGAGAAGGGCAAAGCCTATCGCCGCTAAGCACGAGCAATCTCACCACAACCGAAAGTTATATTCCAGGTGGTGACGGTGTAACCCGGTGAGAGCACTTTTCGCCCTACGGATTGAAAAGAAAAAGAAAAAGCTCGAGGTACAGCTAAGCACTTCTTATGAGTTGTGAATGCGAAAGCATGCAAGCCGCTCGTCCGCTCCCTTTGTCGTCTGCTGCGTACTTATCGTCGCCGGACAGCGCGCGTGCTCCCCTGGGCGACACGCAGCGCCATGGGGTGAGCGGCCGTGGAAACTAACGAGCGCAGCGGCCAATGGGAGCCCCGTCGACGCGCGCCAGCCAATGGAACCGAAGGCGAAATCCATCAGCTTTACTTCGCTCCTTTGGGATCGGGGAAACTAGGTGCCGTTTTCGCGCTTCAAACTGATGACGTCAGCTCGCTCCATAGGACCCAGTTAATCCGTTCGCATTAATAAGCTTTATCCTTCACTCCGTATGCCACCAGTCGATAACCTGCATTTTGTGACTTCCGCTTTCCCGAAGTCTTTTATTTTTCCGTCGCTGCCTTTAAAAACCC